GTCCGCGGCTGGTCTCCGCCGCCGGTGGAGTTCGGCGGCGGCGGTGAGGAAGGAGGACGTGGGTACATATATATGGTATGAGTTTGAGCTTGAGCGGGGAAGAAAAAACCCTACGAAGTTTTGAGGGATTAGAGCAAAGGATCTTGAGAAAGAGAAATGGGATTATATTATCATAATTGGATTAAGGGTTTCTAATTATAGTTAAAAAATATGCTTAAAATCTAATTAAAAAACTGACGAAATTGTGTTTTAAGGCGTTTGTTTGCCTTGGGCCCTTGACGAAGAAAGTCTTCTCGTGGTGTTCCGTCAACGCACGTGATCGTCGCGTATTCACAGAGCGCACAGTAATTAATTATACTTAATATAATTAAATTATCATTATTTTTTTAAATCTCGGATGTGATTTAGGGTTTTTCTTACAGAAATTTCATTAAATAATTGGCGGTTCCGCTAATGGGTGATTATAATTAATATGTTTTCACTCTTATAATGAAATTATACTAGTCTTACCTTTTGTTATATTACATGTAGAATAACATTCTAGGTCATATATATATATATATATATATATATATATATATATTGAGATTTACATTAGTCATCAATGTTCAAAATCTGAATAAAAGATACACATAATTCAGAATATTATAAACCAAACATCAAATCAAGTGATGAATGATATAAATTTGGGTGTATAAGCACAAAATTCCATTTTTAATGTGCCTTGGCATACATAATTATTGTCTAATATATGGCTCTCTATAAGATTCCGTTTTATGTTAAAAGATTGAACAACTTGTCTTCTAACTTTTACTTTTTCAATGACTTACAGATGCCAATTACAATATATATTAATATATATATATATATATATTAATATATATATATATATATATTGAATTATCATTAGAAGGAGATATCCTAAAACTGTAACTAGATAATTATAATTCCTATTCTTTTCTCTTTTACGTTATTGTGAAAGATAAATTTTTTTAATTTGAATCTAACGGGCAATTTTAATATCTAGAAATCATAGGATATAAAATTCGGGTCATTATCACAAATATTTTGGATTTTGTGGTGAAAGATAACGATAGTTTTAACGCCAACCATTTAAATTTCTAATAAACTATTTGTATATAAAAATGGAAAAGGGAACTCAGTTTTATCTCTCTTTTTTTAATATCCAAACCTATAAATGTTAGTTATAATACTCATATTCTATTTTAACATCTGTACTTTGTAAAAAGATCACAAAACTAGATAGTTTAAATTTTTTAAAAGGACACAAAGATGATGTATAAAATTTTGAAATATATGAATTTTGGATACTAAATTCAGAATTTAAAAATAATGTACAAAAAATTTAGGATACTATTTTAAATTTTTTAACCTTTTTATTTTTAACGGGCCGGGCCCAATAAAACTAAATAAGTAACGACCATAGGAATTGGCAACTTTTAATAAAGGTCCAATTGACAATCGTAGGCCCATAATTTAATTAAGGCTCAACCCAAATTATAACATCCTAACCAGCCCACTTAATTTATGGCCATTTTTAAACAAATATATTCTTAATTTCATTCAATCATTGCTTTTATGCTTGTCTTTCTAGCTTTCTATTTTTTTTTTTTTAATAAGATCTAGCTTTCTATTTTAATGTGAGCTTATACATATATCAGATCCAGAAACAAAAAATATTGGAAGACTAATAATATTGTCAATAAATAAAGGCATGCATTTGGTATCATGCATGTGTGTATATATAAGTAGGCATTACATTATATATATATATATATATATATAAATTGCTTACGTTATGTATGTATGTATGTATGTATGTATGTATGTATGTATGTATGTATGTATGTATGTATGTATGTATGTATGTATGTATGTATGTATGTATGTATGTATGTTAAAATGTATGTATGTATGTATGTATGTATGTATGTATGTATGTTAAACACTCGAGTTGGTTCAACTAATCTATCTGTTTTCCTAATTGTTTGGTTGATCCTTTCACTTTCCACTTCATCATATGATTAGACAATGAAAGCGCACAATTTCCCTCTTTATTTTCTATTTTTCTATGTCCGAATGTAAAAAAATTATCCCTTTAATCTTAAATTAGATTAAAAAAAAAAGGAAAACCAAAACGAATTACTAATATTTTTTTTGGTGATTTTATGGATAGTTTCTAATCCCAATCTCTAAAAATGGATTAAATAAGTTTAATATAAAAATATTGTCTTAGTATATTTTTTAAAATGTTAAATTGTTTTAGTAGATTTCTTTTATGACCAAATATAATCAATTTCAGTGGCAGATTTATAGTATTAGTCGCAATTTCATGATTCTTCCATTGTTACTTAAATCCTTACGACATATCGCCGACAACTTCAACGGCATTTTTTGAAACTTAGATAGATATTTTATCTGAATTATTATTTTAACCTAACAATTACAAAACCCGATTTTAAAAATTTTAATCGGTGCAAAATTATCTACTATGAATATTTCCACGACGCTATGTCCAATTATTAGAATAGAGTTTTCGCGAGCTACTGATATTATAATTATTAAATATATATATATATATATACATATATATATATATATACATATATAACATCAATTAAACAATGTTAAAGAGGAAAAGATAATTAAGAGATACATATTACGAAATTTGATAATCGTTAATGCCATGTGTCGATTTTTAATTGGAGGTTTAACAAATAAACAAATAGTTAACTAATTAATTAGGCTATTATGTCAAAATGTCGTTTTCTTAATTTGCATTTAAATCAAGTGTGAGTATTATTAGTTTAGTTGACAAGTTAGCTTTCTAGAGGGGAAATTAAGGGGAAGAAACAAAAATCAATTGCCAGTATTTTTGTAATATATATATTTTTTTGATAATATATGATTTGCCAATGATAGGGTTCGAATCTGCAATTGAACACTCTGCGCATACCCACTTACCAGTTGAGCCAACTACTCTTGCCACTATTTTTGTAATATTGTAAACATTTATAAAATTCAATTCTAAATAATTCGATTTTGTATTGATACCATAAATATAGAGAGATATTTTCTTCTTCTTCTTGTTTGAACAAATCACGGAAAATGACAACATACATATATATATATATATATATATATACCCATACTTTATTATCTTTAATTAATACACTACCATTTTTCAAACCCTAATTTTCTAAATAAAAGATTTTACAAAATGACTTTTCATCTTTGATTAAAATCCTTTCATTTAATGTAATGCTTTCATTTATAACATATGTTATATATAGTGAAAAAAATTTAAAAAGTTGGGAAAATCCCTCATTTAACTAAAAGATTTTCCCATTAGGGTTTGAAAATTTTATAAATTTTTTCATGTTTTTTTTTTCCCAAAATCAAGAATCGTCAACTCCATGTGCTCGTGAGGAAGAATCTGCCGAATCATCTATAGTCCTTTTATAAAAAAAAATAGTAAAATAATTAAACATTTAATTCCCCAACATGTAATAGGGTGACCATTTCTATTGCTCCGTAAAAGTGAAAATTTCACGTTAAAGAGTTGCATTTCTTTTTCATATTATAAGTGGTAAAATAGTTAAAAGAACCATATAAAATAACGGTGCGCACATATTGACATAATCTAATATAAATACCCTTAATTAAGCAATATGTATAATCGTGACAACCTAACCACATAAGTTAGTTAATCCTCAAATCTTGGCGTTGATAACATATTCTAATTTTGATTAAAATCAGAAGATAAGATTAGTTTTGTCTAGGGATGTCAAACGAGCCGACTCGAATCGTTTTTGCCTTGGTTCGATTGGATCAGATCGTTTTGGGTTCAACTCGTTAGACTCGTTTTCTAACGAACCGAAAAAACCTCGACTCAAATCGTTCGCCAGTTTTCCGATTTGAACGAGTCAGTTCGTTGAGCCAGAGATATATAATATTTTTTATTTATATTTATTCCAAAATTAACAATAAATTAAAATAAATACATAAAGAAAAAATTAAACTTAGATATTATAAACTATATATAAAAAAAAGTGTTGGTGGGGATTTTAAAAGATTAAAAAATAATCTAATAATAGTTCAATAAAAAATAATTTAAATAGATAATAACAACAAAATATATTTAAATAACATTTTCATATTTATACTCTAATTTTCCATAATAATGATACTTATAATATCAAATAAAATGATATGAGAAAAAAAAGAGAAATATAAAAATTAGAGTTCTTTTGTATAAATTTATTTTTATTTTTATTTTTAAAAAAAACAAGATCATTGAGTAACTCGCCAACTCGCCAAGCTAGCTCGTTATGATCACAAACTCAATGAACTCGCTCGTTAGACTCATATTTTTTAATGAATTAAAAAAAAAATTATGGTTCAGATCATTCGTTTTTATGGCGAGTCGGAGTCGTTTTGACACCATTAGTTTTGTCATCAAAATAATATATAATTTTCCATAACCTGCATGGTTTTAAATAATAGGTAATATATATTTAATATTAAATAAAAAAGAAAAAACTAAGATGCGACATTGAGAATATTTCAGCAGTCGTTAGGGGGTGGCCTTCCGAGTCACGCCGCCGTGGGGTCGTTCATAGAACTATATATATTCGATATATGAAAAAATATATATATAATTATTTTTAGATATTCATTTTAAGTTTTTTGTCAAAAGTTTTAGTTCCATTCTATTCTTTTAAAATTTTCTTTACAACGAGCTGGAATAGGCTTTAAGAGAATAGAATGGAAATAAAATTTGTAGAAACCTATATTTCATCATTCAAAAAAAATATATCATTATTAGAAAATCGTTATGAAATCAACTCAAAAAGCTGTGTCGGTGAAAATTATTAAACTTATAAGATGTATTGGCTGTCTTTGTTGATCTCTTCGGACAATTGAATATCATGAAGTGTGTGATTACTTATAATATAAAGTATTGAAAGTAAATATAATACATTAATTTGGTTATAAACAGTTTTTCCAATGATTAATCAAGTGGCATATACATAATACAAGATATAGAGGTGTGGACTTGGTTACATATATACATACATAATGCATGCATGCAATGCGAGGTTACGTGTCATACAAATGTATCGTACGGATAGCTTAATCATGCAAATGGTCGCATATATGTGTAACAGATACATATAATTAGGCATAGATACGAATATTACTTGCTATCACGTGTTTAGGATTTTAAATTGAAAATGGTGTTGAAATTTAAAATTTTAAATAAAAATAATGATTATTATGAGAAAATAATTTCCGTGTTGTAAAAAATTCAGAAAACGTGCTGTCATATAAAACGAACCGACGGTGATTAGGAAATGATTTTTTTTGTTAAACCCAATTAACGTGTTGCAATAATAAATAATCAAAGACAGTTTCAATGGAGTGTTGTTACAAAGTATTAGGGTCAAATTTTACATGCTTTTGAATTTTGAACGGTGAACCATCTAATTAGAAACCGTCCAATTCTAAAGAAACGTTGAAAAGAATTTCCCGATATTAAAATTTAACGTATAAATAACTTATTTTTTAATTAAATGAACTGTTTTGGTACATTAATATTTATGAGTTAAATCAAATATAATTAATTGCTTAATTTGCAGTGCAAAGCAGTCTCTCAAGCCATCTATAGGGTAAGTGCGGATCCTTTATAAGTCATGGTAAATATTTCTAATAAATAAAATTTCAAAGTATAATATAAATGATAAAACGCTACAACATTACATTAAAAAACAAAGAAACAAAAAATGACGATTCTTTTTTGACAGGGTATTATATTATAACCTATTATTTATTCATATTTGGAAATAAATAAATTTTACACAGATTTTACAAAAATAAAATTTTAATAATCGTAACCCCAGACCAATAAATAATCTCTATGTTATGTTTCATTTTCGGGATATTATATTTTCAACATCATATATGGGTTGGTGTTAGGAATTAATGGAATCAATGCTTCGTCTTAAATGATATCTAAATACGTACGAATCTTTGTCCAGACGACATGCCACCTTTTGTTCCTTCATGGTCGTATCCAAGTTACCAATTTATGTTCCGATCTTAAAAAATAATTAATTAATACGATAAATACCAATTTAAGTATGCATTAACTATCTGACTTATTTGCAATTGAAGCACGGATTTTCTATAAAATTACAATTCGGGTGCACAACTTTGAAAACCTTACCAATTTTCAAGCTTTATATTTTCTAGGATTCAAATACTATATATATGAAATATATTGATATTGTGGGGTAATTATAAGAATTAAAAGCCGCAAAGATTGGTAACAATAAATTTTGCAGAGAAGCCTTTTAATCTCACATGCCATATTCATCTAAACATCAACCTAATTTCGATATATGAGTGATTCATCACATAATGTGCATTTTGGAGTTAACATCTAATTTTTGAGACCTCCCCTTGTATTTATCTTTATTTAGAAGATTCTCCTATATATATATATATATATATATATATATATATATATATATGTGTGTGTGTGTGTGTGTGTAATTAGTTAAATAAAAAAATAAAAGAAAAAATGACGGTCCAAATTTTCACCAAGGGGGGCATTATTATGCAATGTCCAAAGGGAACATATATAATTGTTTCTTGCACGATATAATAAATATAAGAAGATTTTTTTTTTATCGATTTACAATGATTTTTTTTTATAATTCGGAAGTTCACCGAACTTTTGGTCCGACTATATCTCGCAAAGTATCGATTTACAATATTGATGAAAAAAAAAGACTTATATCAATAGAATTGTAAATGGAAATAACTTATATGTTATTGTAAATTCGGATTATTATATTCACTAATTACTAAGACTATTACGTTTTGTAATTATGCATGATTGTGGTTTTTAATAATATTGAGTTTATAAAATCAATGAAAAATTTCATAATATAATTGCTTGTTTCATTTTTTTTTCTCATCACCGCCGTCAATATGACAAATACTCACTCGATTTTTTTTTTTTGATAATTTACTCACTCGAAAATGACCTACAAAAGCTGCAGTTTCCACTATCTTTCGTCTCCACATGCTATGATCCTCATCATTGAGATTTCACATGCACCATGTATTTGTATATATATATGTATTTTTTTTGTTAATCCATATATATATATATTAGCCATTGATTTATCCGGAACCGGTATTATGAACCGATATAAATATAAATATATATATATGTATATATATTAGCCATTGATTTATCCGGAACCGGTATTATCCCCCCGCATTTAAGGAAGATCATAAATAATTTGAAAAAAATATTTCATTATTTATCCATCGCTTGCTGCCCTAGATAAATACGTGTGTGTGTGTATATATATATGTGTGTGTGTGTGTGTGTGTCATATGTGTGAGAACATGTAAATGAAACTTCAACAAAATTCTATGTTAGTGAATACATATACTCCTTCATTTTCTAAATAAATATCGTTTTAGAATATTTTTTTTGTTACAATTTAATATCGTTTTAGATTTTTTTAAAATGATTTTTTAGCAAAATTTCCGATCTAACCTTTAATTAAAATATCTAAGTTTAAAGAGTATTATTGAGATGTGGTCTAATGACTGTATATGTTTATATTTTATTAAAAATTGTGATAAAATCTAAAACCATATAGTTATTTAGAGAAGGAAGAGTATAACAGAATATCATTATGTAACTCCATTAATATGGTGATAATAACCATTAAAAATCGAATCAAATTGTAAAATGAGTTGACACGGTATTTAATAGCTAATCAAACGAGCGATATCATTAAATATATATATATATATATATATATATATATATATATATTAAGTTAATTTTATTTTTTTTATGTAACAAAGTTTATAATTTGCTTACGTTTTGTGTCAATGTAATTTTCGATTTAACTCGGTTTCATCTTCATAGACAGGCTGTCTTGCTGTTGATGTTAAGGGCATGATGATCTCACCGATTTTAGCACATTTGACTTCAACTCTAATTAAATATGACCTTCTTTAATTCCACACTCTTATTAATTAATCATATATAATTATATGTTAATAATTTTGCAGGTACGTAATAACATATAAATTTATAATAATGGTCGGTGTCACTGATTAGAATTAACAATAAGGGATTAAATAAAAGCGGGTCGATTGATATATGAATAACTAAATTGGAAAACTATATATTATTCAAATGGGTGGTTGGAGATTAGTTTTCTGACCAAATTTACAGAGAGCTGGAAAATTTCCTCATCAGATTCCGAATAGAAAAATGCCGAAACTAATAATTGACAGCTAATTTCGAATTAAATAAACGTTATTAGGAATTGAAATAATCAGCAGGTGAAATAAATTGAATCCGTCCATTTTTTTTGAAAGCCACCTCTCCAACGACTACTTGTTCACTATATAAACACCCCTTTTCCCATGCACAATCTCATATCAACCAATACTTCTTCTTCCTCACAGTTTACTCGGTTCTTCAAGAGATTTGGAGGATCTGAAGGGAGAAATAGCCGCCGCCGGTGAGATTTTCCGGTGAAGAATGACGGCTCCGGCATGGGGTCGTGCCCGGCCACAATGGGTAGTTGCGGTTTTCACACTACTCATTGGCTTGGCATTGGCCACCGAACCTTATTACTACAGTTCTCCGCCTCCGCCACCCTACGAATACAAGTCGCCGCCGCCTCCGGTGAAATATCCTCCTCCTCCGTATGAATACAAGTCTCCACCGCCGCCGGTAAATTCTCCTCCTCCACCGTATTATTACCATTCTCCACCTCCTCCGGTGAAGTCACCTCCTCCTCCGTATGAATACAAATCACCTCCACCCCCGGTGAAATCTCCTCCTCCGCCGTATTATTACCATTCTCCACCTCCTCCGGTGAAGTCTCCCCCTCCACCGTATTATTATCACTCTCCCCCACCACCGGTAAAGTCTCCTCCTCCACCGTATTATTACCATTCACCTCCTCCTCCTGTAAAATCTCCTCCTCCGCCTTATTATTACCATTCTCCACCTCCTCCAGTAAAATCTCCCCCTCCGCCATATTACTATCACTCCCCACCTCCTCCGGTGAAATCACCTCCCCCGCCGTACTATTACCACTCTCCTCCTCCTCCCGTGAAATCTCCGCCTCCTCCTTACTATTATCACTCTCCTCCACCCCCGGTGAAATCACCTCCTCCACCGTATTATTACCACTCTCCACCACCGCCGGTGAAATCTCCACCACCACCATATTACTACCATTCTCCCCCACCACCGGTGAAATCACCTCCTCCACCATACTACTACCACTCTCCTCCGCCACCGGTGAAATCCCCACCACCACCGTATTATTATCACTCTCCACCACCGCCGGTGAAGTCTCCTCCGCCGCCTTACTACTACCACTCTCCTCCTCCTCCGGTGAAATCTCCTCCGCCACCGTACTATTACCATTCTCCGCCACCGCCGGTGAAATCACCACCACCACCGTATTACTACACGTCTCCTCCACCGCCGAAGAAGACTTACTCTCCGCCTTATTACTACAAATCTCCACCACCGCCTCCGAAATCATACTCTCCACCTTACTACTACAAATCTCCACCGCCACCGGTTCCTTACTATCCGCACCCACACCCACACCCATTTGTCTTCAAAGTTGTCGGTAAAGTATACTGCTTCAGATGCTACGACTGGGCTTACCCCGAGAAGTCCCACGACAAGAAGCACCTCAAGGGTAAGTTTCTATGTTTTATTCAACAAATTACAAATATTCATTATAACACTTAGTTCATTTTTTTTTTTAATGTTTTCTCAAAACGTTTGAGTTTTTGTCAACTTTTTCACTAACAAATGAACTAAATAATTTACACATTTTTTTTCCAAAAGCTTTGATTTTTTTAATCAGTTTTTCACTTAGAAATGAAATGAAACTATAATTTACACATGCTATATATATATATAGATATAGAAATATTGATATATAAATTGTCTATAAAAGATGGAGGCTAATAATTTTCGGGACCATGCGCACTTGTTTTTCTTTTTTCGGATGAAAATAAGTAATACAATTTTTGTTTATTCTTTTTAAAAACTAATTATTTAAAAAAAGTATGTGTTTTGGTCAAGATAAAGGACAAACTCGATCATTGACTTTGGATACAAATACGACAAATCAAATAAAATCATACATTAAATAATATTCTAAAAACAATTATAATAATAAAAAACATAACTTGCCATGTAGGGGCCGTCGTGGAAGTGACATGTAAGGTCGGAGACAAGACCGTAAAAGCGTACGGACAGACAAAGATAAACGGTAAATACGCAATCACCGTCGAGGGCTACGACTACCGTAAATACGGCGGGGAAGCATGCACGGCGAAGCTTCATGCGCCGCCGAAGGGATCACCGTGCAACATTCCGACGAGTTACAACTGGGGAAACAAGGGCGCGAAACTTAGGGTTAAATCTAAGACAAAGTACGAGGTTGTACTTTACGCTGAGTCCTTTGCCTACGCTCCTAAGAAGCCGTACGAGGAATGCCACAAGCCTGCTCCGTACCATCCGCCTTATTACTACAAATCTCCTCCTCCTCCGATGCATTACCCCGCCCCGTCCCATCCACCATATTACTATAAGTCTCCACCACCGCCGATGAAGTCTCCTCCTCCGCCGTATTATTATCACTCCCCACCTCCTCCGGTCAAGTCTCCTCCACCACCGTACTACTACCATTCCCCACCACCGCCGGTAAAATCACCTCCTCCACCGTACTACTATCATTCACCACCTCCTCCGGTGAAATCTCCACCACCACCGTATTATTACCACTCTCCTCCACCGCCGGTGAAATCTCCTCCTCCACCATATTATTATCATTCACCACCTCCTCCGGTGAAATCCCCACCACCTCCATATTACTATCACTCTCCGCCACCTCCGGTAAAGTCTCCACCACCGCCATATTATTACCACTCTCCGCCACCACCGGTGAAATCTCCCCCACCTCCTTACTACTATCACTCTCCTCCTCCGCCAGTAAAGTCTCCACCACCTCCTTACTACTATCACTCTCCACCACCTCCGATAAAATCTCCTCCTCCTCCGTATTACTACCATTCTCCGCCACCACCGGTGAAATCTCCTCCACCACCATACTATTACCACTCTCCTCCACCACCGGTAAAGTCTCCACCACCACCGTATTACTACCACTCTCCCCCGCCACCGGTGAAATCTCCTCCTCCTCCATATTACTATCACTCTCCGCCACCTCCGGTGAAATCTCCTCCTCCTCCTCCGTATTATTACCACTCTCCACCACCCCCAGTGAAATCTCCTCCACCTCCTTACTATTACCATTCACCGCCTCCACCAGTGAAATCTCCACCTCCTCCTTACTATTACCATTCTCCTCCACCTCCGATAAAATCTCCACCACCACCGTATTATTACCACTCACCACCACCCCCAGTAAAATCTCCTCCTCCTCCGGTCTACGTTTACGCTTCTCCCCCACCTCCCACCCACTACTAGGCTCCGCCAATTCAAATAAGTTTTTCAAGCATTCAAGTAAGTTGCCCATACACACATACACTTCCATAGTTCTTCCTTCTCTTGCCCTAATTTCTTCCATCATGAACTAATTGTCATCTCTTATGTTATTGCTTCACAGGTTTACTTTTCGAAAATGGAATAAAGGAAGTGCCCAAGAGCTATATACCTCGCAGCCACGACCAAACCTCTTCCACTTCCACGACGGCCATCTTCCACATGCTTATCTTAGTGTCTTTCATGTTCGGACTAAAGCCATATATCATCTTGATGAAGAAAATAACAAAGAGGGTGCAATTTTATTTGCTGTGCATAGAAATATATTTGTATAATCTTCTTCCTTTGGAGCTTCATTGCTGTTCATGTAACGAGAGTGATTTGAAATAAAATAAATGTCGTTTTTTTTTCTTTTCAATTGTCCAGTTATTCCGAAAGTATAAAATTTAATCCCTAATTCAATATATAGGAGATAATTTAAAATGATTATTAATATTATTTATCATCTTAAATGAAAAAAAAAAGAGAAAAAAGACAAACGTTTGATCTTGTTCTTAAGAGATATCACCAATGCTTTTGTCGCTGTAAAAGAATTTGCTTTTGGCAATTCTCGATCTGTTCTTTTTCATGTCTTTGGTCTGTTTCTGTTTGTGTGCGTATATATACGTATATATGCATGGATAACTCCACACACATTTATGCATATACATACAGACAAACATGCATGATTGCATTCGTGTATATATATGTCAAATGGAGGGCATGTGGCCTTTTACGATTTTCGTTGGGCAAATTGATTTTTATTTTATCCTTTACGCATAATATATTTACTTATTTTTGTCTGAATTTTTATAATATGTTTTCTTATTTTTTTAAAAAATTAATTGATTTTTAAAATTTTAAATAAAATTTTTAATTATGAATTTTTATAAATGTTTGGTTCCTCTTTTTGCCGCCTAACAGTTTCGATGCCCTCCGGCTTCCTCCTGTGTTCCCCTGTGATTTCTAGGGTTTCGATTTATCGTGCTCCTCTCTTCCTCCGTTGGCTCTTCCACCCTGCGATTCACCATCGGACTCCTCTTCTTTGTCCGCCAAAATTCAGGTACCTCTCTCTCTCTCTCTCTCTCCACTGTGTGACCCAAATCTCTAATTTCCGGCGATTTGCATAAACATGAAGAAAGAGTTGAATAGGGCTGGGAAGAGGAAGGTTTCATGGCAGTGGCTTTAAGAGTTTGAGTTTATAGTTCTATTAGTAGGGTTGGGATTCAGGAAATCTCCTAAGTTGTTACGAATCATTGTTACCTTCCTGTGAATTCTAAAATCTTTTCTGTTACTTCAAACCCCGACGTCGAACAGTTTCGCCGCTCATTTTACTTCTGTCACTCGATTTTTTCTCGAGACTGGGTTCTTACGCTCTGGTTATCGAATCACGAACAGTTACTGATTCCGAAAATGGAATCTCGAGCGAAGGAGGCTGAACTATACAATCTCGAGAAGCAATGGTCGCTGAATGATTTCGAGATCGGGAAACCCCTCGGCAAAGGCAAATTCGGCAGAGTCTATCTTGCCAGGGAAGTCAAGGTACTTGTTCGCCCACCCCCCGTGAAATTCTAAGAATTTGCCTCTGATGGATTAGGGTTAGGGTTATCGGAGCTTCTTTCAACTCCATTTTCGTTTGAAACCGTAAATTCACTTAATTTAGTGCTCATTAGACTGTTTCATATGTTGTGTTCTTTCTTTGTTTGCGATAGAGTAAATATGTGGTGGCACTGAAGGTGATATTTAAGGAACAGATAGAGAAGTACAAGCTTCATCATCAGCTAAGGAGAGAGATGGAGATCCAGACAAAACTGCACCACCCGAATATTCTGCGTCTCTACGGTTGGTTCCATGACAGTGACCGCATTTTCTTGATCCTCGAGTATGCTCATGGCGGTGAACTCTATGGCCTCCTAAAAAAGAAGGGTAATCTCAGTGAAAAACAAGCAGCCACGGTGATTTCCTCCCTGTCTCCTTTTTCATCTCAAATCCTGAATTAATGGACTTGGGTTACATACACATCCCTAAATGCATGATCTGTGGGTTGTTTCTGGCTTTCTTCTTAGTGGTTCAAGATTTTATGTATGCTCTTGCTTTGGGGTTCTTATTCACAGTCATTGATCTCCTTTTCAGTATATTGCAAGTCTCACCCAAGCACTGGCATATTGTCATGGAAAATGTGTGATTCACAGAGACATCAAGCCTGAAAACTTGTTGCTTGATCATGAGGTATGCTTTGTTTTGTTACAATTGTGGGCATCGGGTATCCTAGTAAATGATTAGCACGGTTTTGCATGCAGGGTAGGTTGAAAATCGCCGACTTTGGATGGTCTGTACAGTCTAGTAGCAAGAGAAAAACAATGTGTGGAACATTGGATTACTTGGCGCCTGAAATGGTGGAAAACAGAGACCATGATTATGCTGTTGATAACTGGACTTTAGGCATACTGTGTTATGAGTTTCTCTATGGTAACCCTCCGTTCGAGGCAGAGAGTCAAAAAGATACCTTCAAGAGGTAACAGAAGCTTATAACCATTCCTGGAACACAAGCGAAAAGCCTTAGTTTCCGACTGTCACGTTATCAACCGTTGTTGCGCAGGATTGTTAGGGTTGACCTGAGTTTTCCTTTGACGCCTTATGCCTCTGCAGAAGCCAAAAATCTCATCAGTCAGGTAAAAAAAAGTCCCCATTTTTGACAAGATTAGGTATCAGCCATTAACAATCTCCGAAAATTTCTGCAGCTTCTAATGAAGGATCCCTCGAAGCGGCTCTCTCTCCAGAAGATCATGCAGCATCCTTGGATCGTCAAGAACGCGGATCCTAAGGGAGTGTGCCTCAAGTAAGCTTTACGAATAGCATGTCTTTTTCAATCCACATTGGTGAGAAAGAAGAGACTTACACATGATGTTTACCTACAATGTTTTCCCAATGCAACAGCTGGTTTGCAGTAGTAATGGGCTTAGAACAGTATTTTCTGAAAAAGGTAATGGGCTGGCTATCTGATTTCAGCCCAACAGTAGAGGCCCATTTATTAGTTGCCACTGATTTAATTTCTTTGAATTATAAATCGAGATGATCTATTAGTCAAATTCTAGAGACCATCTTAAATTCTGTACTTTTTTTTTTGCAACAAACTTAAATTCTGTAGTTGTTGAAAAAAAAGCTTCATATATATTTTTAAACCAATGAAAAAATCGTGATGATTATTTGGGAGTTTATTTCTAAATTATTATGATTTTAAGAGGTTAACTCAATAACCAAAAAGATTCCCAGCAATTCTATTTTTTCCTTTTTGGATAAAAAAAAGAGGATTCCATCAACATGTCTGCCATTAGGATACACTTTTGTTCCAGTGCATTTTTTATTTATTAATATGGTTATTCCTACCCTTTTTATTGTAATAATTTCGCCTAATTCTCGGAAAGGCAATTTTTAGTTCAGGTATTAGATAATTTGATCCAATCCATGAGCCAGGTAATTTAGTTATGATCTTTTTCTTTTTCACCAAGTAATTCAATTATTTAAAAACACGAAAAATAGAATAATACAAATAAACAGCTGTGAATGTGATTTCACACGAACAAAAAACGATCAAATGATTCGGAGCCCTTAATTTTCTGCGTGTTAGATGCGCTGTCTTTATTCTTTTTTTTTAAAAAATAATTATTATTTCACTATATTTCTTTTAATCTTTCATTTAATTTTCTCTTTCGGCTGCTGTATTTTTCTCCCTAACCCATTGTTAGAGAGAGTGCGACACCAAACACAGGAAGGGAGACCATCTCAACCTCAGGCTTCCAAGGATTTCTTCCCCTCTTCTTTTCTTTTCTCTCTCTCTCCGGGGTCTATTATTTCTTCGTCGTGTTCTCTGTATCTCGCAGATCCGCGATCCGGTTCCATTTCGCGGCCAAGTTGGATTCTAGCAGGTTTGATCTTGCTCTCTTTAGGATCAGATTCATGTTCTCATCGCTGGATTTTATGCTTTATAGAGTTTTATTAGATCTGGGGCGCCTATTCAATTTCCAGCTGAAGTATTTCATTTTTTATCGATTGCTGGTTACGATTTGCTTTACGAGACCATTTGCTAGACTTTTATTGGGAATATATTCGTTTCAGATCCACGGTAAGCTGCATTTGAACGCTGATGTTTCTGTTTTCCTTGCGTTGTTCTATTTTGGCTGTTGCCATTGGAATTTCGATCTCAAATGGCTTGGAGTCAGGATATTTGCTTGATTTCATCTTTGATTCGTTTGATTGGTTAAGTTCGCGCAATCTGGCCGCGATCGTTCACATGTCGTGTCGTAGAAAATGTTTATATTGATTTTGAGTTGATGAATCGATCATGTTCAGTTGTTCACCGCGTTTCGCTGGTTTTTAGTATCCTCTGGTTGGTTCGATGATCTGGTCTCTTGATGAGAATTTTCTCCTTTACGTGTTAGTGCGTTACATGTATTGCTATGGCTGTTATGTGTTTGATTAACTTTCAGTTTATCTTCTTTTTGCATTGTTTCCTTAATGGTCTGTGCTTGGCACATCTTGATCTTTTCATTTACAGTAATCTATTGTCTGTATGATTCATGAGTTCATGACTGATTTTACTTTTCCACGATATTAGCCTGAGATCTAATGGTTTGTTTATTTCAAATCTTCCCTTTCCAATTTTTGTTTCGGCCCAATTTCAATTGTACAAGCATTTGCATTAATACTTAATAGGATTCTTTATGTTATTCTTTTGCTGGTTACGATTGACCTGCGAATCTTTTTCTGTATCATCGACAGTGAAGGTGCTCAAACAAGTTTCACAGACTCACTCTTCTGTTTAAGAGTGAAGTTATTGTGGAAAATCTTCTGAGATGAAGAAAGTCTTTGATCAAACTGTAAGAGACATGTAAGTATTGTGAATTAGAATGCGTTGTCAATTCATATAATGCTATCCATCTATGCGAATCTGTGTGTATATTGTTTATCTCATAAAAAATGTCCTTATGCTTATTTGATTAAATTTCTTACAGTAAAAGAGAGGTTAACAAGAAAGTTCTCAAAGTTCCCGGCATTGAACAGAAGGTAAAGCATGCTGTTGGCTTCTTTTCTGTTTTAGTTTTTACCAAAGTTTTACACAAACCTGGACTAGGAAGCCGCCTCTTATTGGTTCTCTGGAAGTGATTGAGTTGATCTGTTTGCCTCTTATAAGGTTAATTATGGTATTGGATTCTGTACGAACAATTGAAATATTGTTAGGGTTTTTTATTTTGGATTTGCACCCCTTGTTTCCCCGCAAGGTTGTGGCATTTGAAGTTATATTTTTCCAACATACATTTCACATAATTTGTTCGTCTGATTAATTTTCTCTCCTTCAGGTTCTGGATGCGACAAGCAACGAGCCATGGGGTCCGCATGGATCACTTCTTGCGGATATTGCGCAAGCCTCAAGAAATTAGTAATCACAAATTTCTTGCTGCTGTTCTTTTCTTTTTCTTGATGTATTATGCTATGGAGATATAATAATCGTGTTTACCTGCAGCCATGAGTACCAGATGATCATGGGGGTCATTTGGAAACGTCTTAGTGACACCGGGAAAAATTGGCGGCATGTTTATAAGGTGAATGTCTTGCTGTGTTTTGAATTTCTCATCCTGCTTTAGCAGTGAATGAAACAATTTCTTTTTGGTTTATCTTCTTTTCTCTGCACTTCAGGCTTTGACAGTCTTGGAGTACATGGTAGGCCATGGGTCAGAACGTGTCATTGATGAGATCCGAGAACGAGCATATCAAATATCGGTAATGACTTTCTTACTGATTTATCTTGGAAGTATGTGTCAAGAAACATGGTTGTATTTGAACAGTTGATTATTTTCCTACTCAAGAAACATTTCTCCTTACTGTTTGGCAGACCTTGGCCGATTTTCAATATATTGATTCCAGTGGTAGGGATCAAGGTAGCAACGTCAGGAAGAAGTCGCAGAGCCTTGTGGCCTTAGTGAATGATAAAGAAAGAATAGCGGAGGTCAGGGAGAAGGCAGCTGCTAACAAAGACAAGTAAGTCTGTCTCTGCGGTAGCTTTCTGAGATTTCTTAGTATTTCCTTTCTGGGTGTATACCTTGTGTGCATTTCTTTGATTTATGCTGGCTTTATGTCAATATTTTGTTGGCTTTGTACTCCATCATTGCTCTCTAGGTTCTTACTTGAGTAGATACTTTTTCCGTGTGGCCCTTTAACGGCCTTATCTTCGATGTATTAAATCGTTTTCCGAAATCTGAATCAATCTCCCGAGAAAAAAAAGGCACGGCTTTCTGTTGCATTTAGTTGGGAAGTACATGTGGTGGTCATGCTTTTTGCTTGTAAATCTATAGGCTAAGGATAAAGCGATACATGAAAACTACTGCTTCAATTCGTGAACATGGAAACTGTTGACACTATTCCTCAACAGGTATCGCGGCTCAGCGACAGATGGAATGTATAGGCCTTCGGGAGGATATGGTGACAAATATGACTATGAAAGCCGCTATGGGGGCAGGGATGAAGAGCGTAGTAGTTATGGAAGAGAAAGAGAATATGGCTATAGGGATGATGATAGATATAGTCGTGATGGAGATCGCTACTCCAGAGATTCTGAAAGTCAGTATGGAAAAGATGGATACAGGGATGATGATTACCGTGGAAGGAGCAGAAGTGTCGATTACCAATATGGGTCAAGAAGTAGGAGTTCTGACAGAGATCGGGCTGGTGAGGATGATGGCCAATCTTCATCGCGGTAAAATTTAAATTTTAAGTTCTATGTTTCACTCAGGTATAAGGGAGATAATCGTTGAAAAATCATCAATTCTATTCAGATGGAATTTTAACCTTGAAGAAGAGGTTAAATTTCCTCGTGGTGGAAATGCTAGTCCTAAGAATCTTCTGACCCTCTTTGAACTAAACATCTGTTTAGTTGGCACTATCCTAGAAAATAAATTAATTCATCCCTTTTCATCCTGTAGGGGCAGTGGTGCCAGAGCTGATGATCATTCTCAGGATGGGATTGGGAGGTACATTCTAAGATTATGCTGACATATTGTCTTTATGGGTTAAATTAACTAATATGTGTGGCATGTCAAGTGATTTCCTTCTTTCGGGATTTGATATCAGGCGACTTGAGAGGAAGTTTTCTGAACAAAATATCGGTGCCCCGCCTAGTTATGAAGAAGCTGTTAGCGAATCTCGGAGCCCTGTGCACAGTGAAAGGTGGAAATTCTCACCCATGCAAACTAGCAAGTACCTTCTTGTTGAGTGACTCTGATGTATTTAATTTGGAATTTGGATTGAAGGGATGGAGGAGAGGCTCCACAGGTGGCTGTGCCTGGTGCTGCTTCAGGTGCTGCGCCAGGAGCTGCTTCTCCTTATGATGGAAACAATGCCGACAAAGCAGCTACTGGTTTTGGTGATGAATCATCTCCTCAAACTCGAGAAGTTGAAGCTTTTGATGAATTTGATCCACGTGGTCCAGTTTCAGGTATAGAGTCCTCTGCTTACACAATTTGCTTGTAATTGGCCATGTTCTTTCAGCTTTTGTCTGGTGCTTGCCATCTGCTTCAGGATTCATTGCCACCGATAACGTGCAAATCTTCATGAAAACACTAGAACATACTTTCACATTGGAGGTTTAGGATTCGGTTCTGATACTGGTTTTGTAATGCTGCTTTAACCACCTAGGCTACGTGTTTGGAGTGTAGTCTGAGTTACCAAAAACAGTGGTTCACTCTGTTGGTTTTCTTCGAACCATTTAGTTAAAATCAAGCTTTAAAGATATCTTTGTACCATATTACATTCATAAAGATTTATTCAATTGATGCAGTATTATGACGATACCATCACTTGTATAACATTTTTCTCTTCTTCAGCTGCGCCTCCAGCATCTGTACCTGTAGATGCTGCTCCAGCCCCAGCATCTGACCTGCCTGCCTCAAACACTGTTGAGATGGACTTGCTTGGCTCTCTTTCGGATGTATTTGCACCAAACCCGTTGGCAATAGTACCTGTTGATTCTGCTTCAGTTGAAACCAATGGACACACAAACTCTGGTCCTGCGCCATCATTTGCTACATCTCAGCCATCAACTCAGGTATCGACATTGGGTTTAGTCACAGGTGCTCGAGGCTCTTTCAACTGTTTCACACTAAGTATTCTCTGGGTTCGAGCGGAAGCTCTGCAGAACATTCTGTTGTTATTTTACAATTTGACTAAACTCGGTTCTTGTTTAGATAAACTTTTCTCCTGTTGTGCAGCCATTTGATGATCCATTTGGCGACTCTCCATTTAAAGCCATCCCTTCTGCCAACACTGACCCGAGCTCGCAACAGAGTTTTGCAGCTCCTTCCCAGCCAACACAACCAACCCACACCACGGAGATCTCGCAGCTGGCTGCCCCAAGACCTGACAGTAGTGATAACTTTGGCTTTGGGGACTCATTCTCTGCTGTTCCCAATCATAATCCCGGTGTTCCAAACATGCAACCTCTACCGAACTCACAAGCTTTCTCTCAAGAGCCGTTAACTTCAGAAAGTGAACTTGATATTCTCGCAGGCATTCTCCCACCCTCTGGACCTTCAGCTTCTCTACCTTCACAACCAGGTGCCCCTATACCAACATCTGAATTTGTTCCCAACAATGGTAACGTGTACCAGAACTTTCATCCTCAGCCGGTGACTACAGCTTCGAGCATGCCTGCAAAGATTCCTTTTGGTCAAACTGCGCAACCATATAACGTGGTTTCTCAGTCACAGAATCTGACAGGAGGTATGCCATATAACTTGGGAGGTTTTATGCATCAGCAAGGCACTGCTGGTCCTGCAAGTATCGAAATTCCACAATATGCTCCACAACCTACGAGCGGAACCTACCTCCCGCAACCAGTTTCTGCTCCTCCATCGAGCTTTCAAAATCCGTACCGTACACTTAGCGCACCTGCTGGTCAGCTTGGTGGTGGAAACTTCATGATGCAACAGGGTCCTGGTCCTGGCACCACTTCCTCTGGTCCTGTTGCGCAGCATGGCAACAATGGCTTCGGTGACATCTTCACATCGACTGGACCAAGCTCGTTGGGGACATCATCATCTCAACCAACCTTCACACCTTCAACCGGACCGCTTGATATCGTTCCTCAGCCACAGCCTCAGAAGAAGTTCGAGCCCAAATCAGGAATCTGGGCAGACACCTTGAGCAGGGGGCTCGTGAACTTGAACATATCTGGACGTAAGCGAGATCTTGCCACAAGAACATCCTCAACCATAGTATACTGTCTTTAACACTCTTCTAACTTTTGACTTATCTTCTGTCATTTCATGCAGCTAAAACAAACCCGTTGGCGGACATTGGAGTTGACTTCGATGCAATCAACAGGAAAGAGAAACGGATGGAGAAACAGCCAACCACTCAAGTAATATCTACAATCACGATGGGTAAAGCCATGGGATCAGGCTCAGGCATGGGGCGTGCAGGTGCAAGCGGCATGAGGCCTCCACCGACTCCAATGGTTGGCACCAACATGGCAATGGGAGGCATGAGCCAGCAACCCATGGGGATGGGGATGGGGATGGGCATGAATATGGGAGGGTACGGACAAGGCTACCCAATGCAGCCACAACCCGGGATGGGCCCTGGTCCTGGCATGCCTGGCGTCTACAATCCCATGATGGGTCCAGGCAATTACAATCCTCAGCAGCCATATGGTGGATACCGGTGAGAATCAAGCGAATGACCATATGATCCATTAGTAGATACACGGAGCTTCCTCTTTCGAGATCATCTGAGGATTCTAAGATTGGTAAAAGCTGACCACGCCGCCCTGCTGCTATATGCGCCTGTAATTATCTTGGGTCAGATCAGAGGTAGTTTCCGATATTCACCGTTCTGTTTTGAGAGCTCGTAGGTTGTGCTTGCTCTGTTTGATCTGCCTTTTGATTTCATTTTCTGCTTGTTGGACTGATGGAGCTTTTTTATTTGTTTGTGAGATTTGTATCGCTGAGGCAAACCTTTCTCTGGTGTGCCCTTCTCTTACATGCATATGCCATATATAGAATCTATATATAACACAACACATTTTTGTTGTCCCTTTTCCGTTTGAATCCGTGAATTACAGTTTTCTCATCAACGAAGTCTCCACTTTATTTTCCATCTTCTTGGTATTTTGCTTCTCTTTTCGGGTGTGGTATATTATATATTGCAGGTAAACATGTATCATTCAAGCTAAGAAGACTTGAATTCTGTCACCCATGGAGTCGTTGAAATCCACCAGGATCTTCCCTCCCGGTTCATCAGCTGCGTCGTCCAGCATTTGCTTCAGGTTCACCCCTCCTAAAGCTGCATCATTCACATTCCTCTTCTTTATTAGTCCTAACTATCAAATACTCTGCCGAGCAATACGATAATGGGAGGGTCGAATTCGTGTTTAACCTGGAACTATGTTGGTGACGCCTTCCAAGAACCCGGCCTGTTCACGTTAACAGCGGTGATCAAACTGTAAGAGACATGTAAGTATTGTGAATTAGAATGCGTTGTCAATTCATATAATGCTATCCATCTATGCGAATCTGTGTGTATATTGTTTATCTCATAAAAAATGTCCTTATGCTTATTTGATTAAATTTCTTACAGTAAAAGAGAGGTTAACAAGAAAGTTCTCAAAGTTCCCGGCATTGAACAGAAGGTAAAGCATGCTGTTGGCTTCTTTTCTGTTTTAGTTTTTACCAAAGTTTTACACAAACCTGGACTAGGAAGCCGCCTCTTATTGGTTCTCTGGAAGTGATTGAGTTGATCTGTTTGCCTCTTATAAGGTTAATTATGGTATTGGATTCTGTACGAACAATTGAAATATTGTTAGGGTTTTTTATTTTGGATTTGCACCCCTTGTTTCCCCGCAAGGTTGTGGCATTTGAAGTTATATTTTTCCAACATACATTTCACATAATTTGGGACGTCGAGCTTCTCGAAACCATCACGTCCGGTGATCTTGATCCTAAGGGTTCGGGACCAGATTCTGGTGAACGGGTCTCTCGATCCATCTGTGCGGTAGTCATTGTACACTTCAGGAGTTATGACTTCGACAACAGGGTCCTCATAACTCTGGGTTTTCTCATCTCTGTCATCATCTTGTTCAGCTCTTTCAATGCCATACACATTACTGCTCGCTGCCATGTTTTTTTCCATACAGGTCGAGATTACACACAGAGAAGGGAACTCGAGGCGACGCCTTCTCATTCATAAACACGGTATCAACTCCAAAGAAGTAACTAACACATCTCTGTCTCATTCGTGACTCACCTCCATCAGACGAGGAAATAGCATAACGCCTCTCTTCTTCGTGATATGAGTCGAAACCCAAAATCTCATTGATCTCATCGAGGGATGGCATGCTTCCGGGCGGAAGAATTCGGCCACCCTTGATCGCCGATAGAGAATCCTGCACATTACAACATGCTAGATGCTGAGTCAACTCGGACGGGGTAACATGTAGTTGAATACAATGGCATTAACCTGCATTGCTTGGATAGATACTCCCATCAAGGAAAGTGGATATGCAACTAGCTTAAATCCAATCTCTTCTAGCTCAAGAGGATTCAGGATCGGTGTTTTGCCTCCGACTTCAAGCATACTAACCTACACGGGCAGGTTTTTATCCCATTATCCTACGAGCTCGGGAAATAGGTAACGTAAACAAGACTCGTGCAATGACGTAAGTTACCAGTTTCGGAATGAGGGGATAGACATTGCATAAACCCTTCATTTCTTCTCTAGAAGTGAGCATTTTGATGGAGAGAACATCTGCTCCAGCATCTGCAAAAGCCCTCGCCCTCCACAGAGATTCATCCAGCGATATCGCTTCCCTTGAATCGGTTTGAGCCACAATGACGATGTCCGAGTCGCTCTCTTGCCGCGCATCCACCGCTGCCTTTATGCGTATAACCGCTTCCTCTCTTGAAACCACTTTTCTCCCGTGCTTATTGCCAGAAGCTTTCGGATACACCTTTCAGTGACAGTTCAGTATATATAGGCATGAAACTGAACATGGAAAGAAGATCTATGTTGAGCAGTTCTGTTACTAGAACGGGTGCCCGACTTGAAAAACCGCAAAGTTTTAATCTTTTATCTGTTTCTCCACCAGAGGTGGGTTCAGATGTATACGCGGACTTTTGGGTACCCTATCTCGCCCTTCTTTTCACGGGTTGTCAGAGGGTATTGTCTCGGCCTAGAGACATGGATACTCAGCAGCTGAATTCGGGTACCCGAATCTACAAAATTTTTCGAAATTTTGATGAATTATGTTGATTTTAGTGATATATTAGTAATTTTACATAAAAAAGGATTAGTTAAATATATATTTTTAGGGATATTAATATAATTTTACTCTTATCCGATACGCATGAAAGATCACCACGGGTTCAGGTTTTTAGTCTCGTTACACCCATCCCGTTTCGATCGTATTCGTGGTGAGTACCCGTGAAACCGGATACCCGAAAACCCACGGATGTCCGGGTAAAAAAACTCACACCCTATTCTCCACCTTCAAACCACACAAGAACTACTACTACAAGGAAACAGAAAAAAAAAGCCAAGAAATTCCTCGATGGTACAAACCTGATCGTCAAGAATAATTCCCGCAAAGCCGGCTTTAATATATCCCTTGACAGTCCTCTTCAGATTCATCGCATTCCCGTATCCACTGCCACCATCTCCAATGACGGGAACAGACACAGCTCGCGTAATTTGCTCACCTTGTTCCACCATTTCTCCGTACGAAATAAGCCCTTTATCCGGCAACCCCAACCGAACAGCTGATATAGAGAGCCCTAGAACATGGAGTTATTAAGGGTCACAACGCATTCAGATACAAAATCCATGAACAAAAAACTTCTCTCCATTGTTGTTTTAGCGAAGAACTCGATGCATATATACAGAGACGAAGTGTAAAGTCCCAAACTTGAAGCAATTGAACACAAACCCAGGACTCAAAAACATCAGGGCATGCTGAATTTAACATGATCGAAGCCGAGGGTGATACATAATCAGATTAATTACGAATTCCAGAACCGAAAGAGGGCACATTCAATCATATGATCAGAAGTTGGAGCTTCTTGTTAAGCTCGTGACCGTTGATTTCAATATCTAACAATCGTATCAGGAACCAGAAGAACGACGAGATTTTTCGATTTTTCTGTGATGGCGAGTGCGTACCGCTGGCGATAGAGAAACGAAACCCAGCTCGCTCGACGAGCTTAGCGCTAAGAGCGTAAAAGTTTCAGTTGCTGCTGATTATCCTGATTCAGTTCCCGATTCATCTAGCTACATTAGCAAGGGAGGTTACCATCCTCTCGAGGACTTGGAGCCTAGCAAAAGGTCCCGGGTGACCAAACTCTCCGCCGCTGAAATAGCAAGGACTACAGTTGAGGTTTGTATCCCGAGAAAACAGCAACACGGACCCTGATGAACGCCAGCCGATTCCAGAACCTCTCTTAGCTTCTTCGCAGGCGAAGAAGATATCCCGTCTCCCGACGAACCGGAACCGGCGGCGGCGGCGACGGCGATGGGTCTCCGACGAGATTTCCTGGAGATAGAGACGGGCTTCGCGGGAAAAAATTCTCCGACGGAGATACAAAACGAGGGTTTTAAATGGGAAGATCGTGAAGGGAGAAAGCTGGATAGAGACTGTTGATGGAGAGTCTGAGGAGAAGAGCTGCAAAAGCTGCTGCTTGATGCCGCCATTGGAGGAGGGGGAGGATTGCCTCTGTTTGGCTTTGGCTAACAAAAAGCTGGTCAGATGAGATCATTCAGACAAATCTGACGGTTTCAGGTGGTTCGACCAAACCGAACCAAATCTAAATTGAACCAAACCGGTTTACTTCGGTTTACCAAGTGTTCCCTAGCCATGTTTCCATATCATTATTATTATGACTTTTTCGCTCTAGTTTTGTTTTTTTTGTTGGTCTTTACTCCAATCTTTCACCTACCACCAGAATGTAATATTTTATGCTATTTGAATTAGAACTCACTAATTTTCAGAATTTACATAATGTATAGATAGGAAAATTTTTATTTTTATTGATTTCATGTTTTATGAAGCAAAAAAAAAAAAGGTTCAAGCGTGTAAAAACACAAAACGACAAGAAATCAATTTTCATTTGATGGACACAGAACCTAAGGTGCCGCCAAATATCTTAATAGTTTTCTCGGCATTTAATGAAAGATTCAAAAGAATATCCCACTTTTTAATATTATGAATATTTATTTTCGGTGATAAATAAATAAATTTCCGTTGTGTTATGCCATTTTTAAAACTAAATATTAAAGAAAAATAATAACTTTTTGCATATGACATACAAAAAAAAAACAATTTTGCCATGAAGGAAAAAAAAAGAACAGAAAAAGACAATAGTTTCTGAAGTTCCTGGCGGAGAAACGCAGTCACGAAATTAATAAGATGCGACAGTAAACCAAAAAAAAAAAAAACCAGAGAGAGGTTAGTGTCGACGGCGGCGGCGGCTCTGGCGATCCACAGGCTTCTTCCTCAATTGGTGTTGTGACATTTCTCGGCGGGCTGAGCTTGGGTTTCTCCGATTCTCTCTGTTCCTCCTTTTCGCTGTTTCTGTCATGGCGATCGCGGCGGCTTCTTCTTTTTCCATCTGTAATTCACCCATCGCGCGACATATTCCTTTGTTTTGATTCGATTATTTTGTTCTCTGACTTATGCGAAGCTGTTTTCGCTAGTGCATGGCTCTGTGAATCGAGTTCGAATCACTCCGTTTTTGTTTTTCTTACCGTAAATCGTCGCGAAAGCATTTCGTATGTTGTTTCTGCTAACCCGTTTGATTGTTGATTGAAACTTCCTTCTGAAAAAGCTGGATCTTTGTCTCGCGTTTCTGCAAGAACTCGGGTTTCCAGATTGTTGTTGAATCTTGTTAGACTGGAATTGATTCATATGGGAATGAGAAATCTGACTTTCTCTGTGGTTTTTGAGAAGAAGTGGGAAAAGCTGCAGTTTCTAATGTTCAATGTTCTTTTTTGGGTCAATATGAATGATTGCAAGGTTGGGCAAATCAAATGTTTTTGTTTTGTTTCCATGGAAAAGAATGTTCTTGCTTTTGATAGAAATCTTGTGCAGCCAAATACAGATTTCAAGTTTCCACCCTTGGTTTCTTCTTCTGGTTTTATAGTTTATCCTCTTTCTTGCCATCACACTTTCCGCCATTAATTCAATGAATCTCCGGATGTCTTATCCATCAGGTCCATCGCATTGCCATCAATGTTACACAGAGGAGTTATCTCCCAACATACTTTGCAAAAGAAACGGCCGGACAGGCAAACACGTGTTTGATGGATGTGGTGCATCTAATCTTTCTGTCCTAAGGTATGCCAATAATCTACATATACCTAAGGTACATCTACATATATATATATTTGTGTATCAGGTTTGTGATTATTGTTCACTGGCACTGACATATCTCTAAGGTGTCTATAAGTGTTGAGTGTTCTTCACCGTTTTGTGCTCTGCCGTAAATCTAGTGAAAGTTAATTCTTGTAGTTGTTTTAATTCTCGTGAGCTTTATTTCCCCTATTCAGTTTCAGATGCAAGATTCCATTTTTTGGACCGGCATCCCATGTATCATCACCTTCTGGACGAGACGATGGCCTTACAAAAGTTTCAGTTGCTGCTGATTATCCTGATTCAGTTCCCGATTCATCTAGCTACATTAGCAAGGGAGGTTACCATCCTCTCGAGGACTTGGAGCCTAGCAAAAGGTCCCGGGTGACCAAACTCTCCGCCGCTGAAATAGCAAGGACTACAGTTGAGGTTTGTATCCCGAGAAAACTAAAAAAATAATCAAATAAATAAATGCATAAAGGAAGAAAAACTGTGAGGGATCATGGTTGATGAAGTAAACTTCTGCATGGAGTACATTATATTTGCTGTTTTCAGTTTGTTTTTATATTACATGGGATATGGTTTTTCTTCTTAAAATGTAGGCTAACAGCAGAGCTGTTCTGGCATTTCCCGGAGCAATACACTGTGAACCGCATGATCATACTTCATGGTCCGAATTTAAGTATGTCATTGATGATTACGGAGGTCAGCCCAATTATATTTTGATGGTTCCAATATATATATATATATATATATATCACTCTTTATTACTCACTTTCTCACTGGTTTTATCTTCTTACCTCTGTTTACTTCATTTTAGATATCTTTTTTGAAATTTTCGATGATAATAACATCTTAGAAGATCCTGGAGCAAGTAATCCTGTGGTAAGTTTCATCATTGTAATAACAAATTTTCTTAGCCGGCAGTATTGCTTTTTCATCCAGTTCTTCTAACACGAGTTGAAATATAAAGCTGACCAAGTTAGTAGATATGTGTGTGTGGATTTATTTAGGCACGCATATTGAAGTTTACCATTTCCGTCTGTCTCGTCTTTCTGCTAATGTATTTGCAGCGTATTTTCTTTGCAGTGACTTAGTAACCCCATTTCTCATTGTCTACTTGTAGAAAGCCTTTATTGGAATGGATGTCCCACTATACGAAAACACACCACTCCATGATGAATATAACATTTCAGACATCGGTAATCTGGATGATATTATTTTTGATGATCACTATTTCGAGGTTGGTTTGGAGGCTGTTCAACTCTCCTTGTTTTCTCGGAGAATCTGTGATGTATTGTATTATCTCATTACTTTATTTTTCTCATTTCTTGGATATTCGAGTAGATCATGGATTCTGAAGCGAGTGATATTCCTGTCGATTGGGGAATGCCCGACTCTTCCAATGGAGTTCATCCTGTTTACTTTGCCAAACGCCTAGCAAAGGTAATGTGGCCTTAGAATTAGCATTAAGCATGAAGGAAAATTCAAATCAAAGTAACATTTTTCTGTCAAGTCACTTATTACACTGTCTATTTACATAAATCCTCAAACTGGGATCAAACTATTTAATGGCTCTGTTGCTTCTGCTCCTTAGGTTCGAATTTTCCATTGCCGTCTCTGCTTGGCAATAATCAGTTAGGCTGTTTGTTTGATAGATGTTGGTCTTGCATTTCATCGACACTTATTGATGTGTAGTAATTATAGTATATTGTGATGAAAGTGAGTTTGTATGTATTGTTTTTGCATTCTTAAGGCGATCAGCATGGACTATGATAGAAAAATGGACTACCCGTCAAATGGTGTATCTATTCTCGGATGCCTTAGGCCTGCTTTCCTCGATGAAGAATCGTATATAAGAAGGTTATTTATCCCAGAAGATAGAGATGACTATGACTGGGAGAGTCAAGGTCTTTTGCCTTCTCTTTGCTCCAGAATGTCAGTTTCTACCGTCTGTTCGTGATTTCGGCTGACACAAAGCAGCAGTTTCAATTTTTTGCATAAAAGATTATGTCGATGTTTTAAACTAACTTATGGAACGCTTAGATGTGAATCTTTTCATTTGATGCCCTTTGTTCCTTCTGGGACGTTCTTCTTTAGGTGATGATAATCCAAGCAGTAGTTCGAGATACGATGGACACGATATGAGTTCAACTCTATATAGATTAGAGATTGTGAGAATAGAGCTATCCTCCATCTATGGAATTCAGGTATGTTCTTTCATTACAACCTGTCGTAATTCCTGATGCAATGCAAACTCTCTTTTGTTTGCCCTCTTGTCTGAACGTGCATTGATCTTAGAATCTTGTCGTTTCAGTCTTCTGTAAGCTTGCAAGATTTCCAAGATGCCGAACCAGATATCTTAGTCCACTCAACTTCAGCAATCATAGATCGCTTCAACAAGAAGGGGATTAACTGCAACATGGCTCTCAAAGCTCTTTGCAAGAAGAAGGGTCTGCAAGTAGAGGTACCGATCTCTCTCCTAATGCCATTACGTGTTTGCCCATGTTCTGGTCTTGCAACCTTGAACCTGGTACCTTGTCTTCTCGTGCAGGGAGCTAACCTGATTAGCATTGACAGCCTCGGAATGGACGTGAGAGTTTTTACGGGAGTGGAAGTTCAAACTCACCGTTTCCCTTTCAAAGCTAGGGTGAGCGAGAGATTTCTTCAACTTAAACATCGAAGAGAGACACATATCCATAAAATACTACAGAACCATGAACTCAACTCCAACGTTTTCTCATCAGGAGATTGTTGTTTGTCACAGGCTTTGACAGAAATCGCAGCTGAGAAGAAAATCCAACAGCTACTGTTCCCACGATCACTCAGAAGGAAACTGAAGTCTCACAGGGACGGATTGAAGGATACGTCTCGTTACTGATCAAGAATCATCGGAATCAGAACTGAACAGAGACGAGCCTTTACCTCGCAGGTTCAGCTTTATACCTTTTTCGTGTTCTTTGCCTCCGACTTCAGTGTACATAGCATAACCTCCTTTGGTGAGAATCTAAAGGGCTGCAAAGATGCAGCTCACTCTTTGTAGCAGTAAGCATAAGCCAAATAAGAAGTTCAAACCTTTGAACTGATTCCATTGTTGTTTTTCACATTTGATGTAATGGAGTTTGAAGCTAAACCAGATTTCAACTCAATAATTCTACTTCTTTATGGACATAACCCTCTATGATCTGATTCATGCCAATGGTTGGTCCATGCATTGTTCTTACCAATGATAATGTGGAACTTTGATGTGAAACAGGAATATGAAGTTTTGTTTTGTCCTTGTTGCAGATGTGACATCATTGACATACCTGTTTTGGCCTTGTTACAGATTTTAAATGAGATAATTTAGTAGATTAGAGCCATGTGGATGTTTTAAATGGGTTTAATTGATAAATTGAAAAGTAAGGGTGAATGTGCAAATTTTGGAGAATCACTAGCTTTAGTTTTACCAGGAGTGGGACTGCATTGACAGTAGTAAGAGTTTGCAGTTACTCTGGCGAATTCAGCAAACCTTTGGGGTAGAAAGATAATATCGGTACGAGATGAGATCTTCACCGAGCAAATAACGGCGTGAGATTTGCCGTCAGAAAATGCTGACTTGGCGATCTGCTGCTGAAGAGTTATAACGGCGTTTAATCTCCGTTGTGGCATTTTCTCCATCACCTGTTTTCGTCTCCTCGACTCCTCGTTTCTCTTCCTTCCTTGTCGTCGAAGGCTTTCACCGATCGTTTTCTTGCGTTTTCCCTTTCTCTGTTTGTTCCCGTCGAAATTTTCGGGCGTGGAGTGCGTTTGATCACGATTCTGTCGGGATTTGCGGTATCGCTTTTCACTAAGGGTTTGATCGCTGTGTTGGTCGAATCCTGGTAGGGTTTTTGAATCTACTGTTCATTTGGATTCCATTTTTGTCCCATTGAATTGAATTATTAGCTGTTGGATTGATCGTGAAACTTATTCTACTTAAACCATGGATGAACCCTTTGATTGTGTGCTTATTTGGACATAAATTTTCGTTTTTATCAGATGGAGGCTGTCTCTTCCCTTGCGTTCAAGGGCTCGATTCCTGAAGCTATCTTTGAAGCCAAAAGGCAGAAGAAGCTTTTTGTTGTCTATATCTCTGGTAAATGATGTTTCCTTCATCGTTGTTTGATCTTGTAGAAATTCATAGCTCTGATTATGGTTGGTAAAACATTTTTGTAGTCTGCCACTGCCTCGGGTTCTACTTAATCCGAGCTATATCGATCAGTTGCAACTTGCAATTACTTTTTACTGAATTTTTTTCCCCGAATTTTAGGGGAAGATGCAGAGTCGGCTAAGCTGAGCGAATCTACATGGGCTGATGCAAAGGTAGAATTCTCTGACTGTTCACAGGGGGATAAAAATTTATGAATGCATTCTCTCGCTTTTGAGGTGAAACCAAACCAAAATGAGTATTTCTTATGGTATCGAGTATAGGTAGCAGAATCGCTGTCAAAGTGCTGTGTTCTGTTGCATATCAAAAGTGAAAGTGCCGATGCCGCCAACTTTTCCGCGATATGTATCCTTGCTGATTTTTGTGTTAGAACTTCGAGACTGCTGATTTGCCTTGCAGTTCACCTTCCTCTTGAATTGTGCATTTGAAATTTTAAGGATTCCAATGTTGTTGTTTATAAAACTCCAACTTTGTGGAGTTGCTAACCTCTGATAGAGTGTTAACTGATTTGAGATGTAACGACCTTAAACATGATGTTCAATCTCTTTGGTAAAGCCACCTTGCATTCTTGCATGTGATGTGTATTGGTATCTCTCTAGTTGATATATCCATCTAGGACTAGAGATCTCAGGATGGTCTGTGCTTCTCATTTCCTAATTCTGCCGATAAGATGTGAAGTGAACAGAAAAAAGATTGTTAGAAATGAACAGGAAAAACACCGGTAAGAAGAGGTTGTTTTCATCATATTCATTTTGACAAACGGAGGATATCCTTGCATCATTTGCTAGACCCATATTCTTCTGTCCCTTGCATAGCTGCTATTGGATTCAACGGTGCACAGGTTTGGAGAAATGGTGAGATCCTATATTTTATCGAATACTATACATGTCAAAGTAAAGTCAATTCGTTTATAAACATTTGAAATTTTCTCCCTTCAACTTCCCAGAGGGATTCCTCACTGCTGAGGTTCTGGCTTCCAGTTTGGAAAAGGCGTGGTTGAGTCTTCACATCCAGGTACAAGGTAGCTGGTTCCCTGTCTTTTATGATTGGTTTTTACATGTCAATTGTGTCCTTATTTGCGCCTTAAACTTGTTCCTTTTCAGGAAACTACTGCAAATATTCTTTCTGCTGCACTTGTGTCTCAGAAATCAGATGTGTCATCATCTAGGGTTCCTGATGTGGCTTTGCCTTCTGAAGGAGGTTCTTCAGATGCAGCTGTTGCATCTCCATCAACAGGCTTGAGTGTCCAACCTTTAGAGAGGGAGTTAACGGTAACGTCCGGGTCAACGAAAGGAAAGGCTGCCTGCAAAAATGTAGTTAAGATCGATTCTGAAGCTGCAAGTGTTTCCAAATTACTTGTTTTTTTGTGTTTTGCTTACATGGTGTAATCTTACTCTGAAGCAGGAAAAGGTTGTGGACAACAAAGATTGTTCGAAATCTGTCGAATCCAGTAACTCGGATGATATTGCCAATGACCAGCCAGCAACTTCTGTTGAAACAGCTAAAGACTTTGGCAATGTTGAGCTTAAAGAGACGTCGTTGCATTTTGAGGCAGAGAAGGAGCTACTTCGTCCTGAAACGGCAATACTGAAACATGATGCCTCTGGAAACAGTGCTGTCCGTGATTCATGTGCTGGTGAAAGAGACATTAAGTCAGTAAATTTGATAGGTACAGAGAAAGCAGCAAACTCCGTGGACGATGGAGCAGATGATAAGGGTACCAAGAAAAAGGACAGTGTCTTGTCAGTCGAAACATCATCTGATGTTCATCTAAATATCCGGTTGCCTGATGGTGCTAGCCTTCGAGAGAAGTTCTCTGTGACAAACACATTGGGAATGGTCAAGGACTATGTGAGCAGTAACCAAACCAATGGAATCAGTGCTTTTGATCTCGCTATTCCTTACCCGCGGAAGGTGTTTAATGATCAAGGTAAGTATAGTTCACGGATATAGCCTGTAAATTTGCACTTTTAGTCATCTGTTATATCGTATGCTTGCTGGATTAGTATAGTCTGTAGATTAGTAGATCCTACATGTGTTAATTCCCTATGGAATCTGGTTGACAAATCATCATCACGCCTCACTGTTGGCATTTTCTTACTTACTGGAATTTGCAGATATGGACAAATCTCTATCCGAAGTGGGCTTGTTCAACAGACAAGCTCTGATAGTAGTACCGCGTCAAAGAGCCACCATGGCCAACTCCACCCATACAAGAGCTACAGCTACCGACTCACGATCTGAAAACCCAAACAACGTCGGCTACTTTGCATTTGTCAGAAGGCTGATATCTTACGCGAACCCGTTCTCGTATTTCAGCGGTGGTGCCAGCTCATCGAGCTCCGGACCAGAGTCCCAAACCAGTATGTGGGAGTACCGTGAGTTTCCTTCTATCATCATAGCTTCATTAATCTCTTTCAGAGGCTCTAAAAAATCATTGTCATAAAGGTAAATCATTGCATGAAATGTAGTTTGGTAGTCTGAAATCTATCTCGTTTTTCTCTTGTGATGAACTCTCTCAGGTCCAAATCCAGGGTTAAGAAACAACCTTGGGCAAATGGGTAGACAAGACAGAGATTCCTCCTCGACGAGAGATATGTCAGAAGGTACAAGCAATGTCCGGAACAGGAGACAGACCACGTCCAGGATAGGGACCAACATTCATACTCTGAAGCACGATGAGGACGACGATGTCCCGTTCGGAGGTGGAAACACGTTCTGGAACGGAAACTCTACACAGTATGGAGGCGACAATAACGATAACAGGCGATAAGTTTGTTTGCCCTTTCGATGCTTTTTTGGTATCGCCTTTTTCTGCAGGACGCTATCCTCTGGAGCCGTAGTTGCCAAACCACATATGGTACATGGACACTCCATTGTTGATGGCTTTTGTCAGAATAAGAACTTGGATATGTTAAGACTCTGTGCGTGTTAATGTATGTCTTTTACTTGTTCCTTACGGTAATCGGTTGACACTAATCTTTTGAAAAGAGATTATATAAGTTCTCTTAATGGTAGGAAATATTATTAGAAAATCTTCCTCAGAGACGTATTTCTTTCTTTGAAAATTCCCTATGCAATATTTTAAAATAGAAAAAATAAAGGCAGTAGTGATATTCATGTTTTTCGTTAGCCGCGTTTGCTTCTGTCTTTGCCATTCTATTTACTCTCTCTCTCTCTCTCTCTCTCTCTATCTGCGGAGCTTTTGTCTAAAAATAGCCGTTACTGACGTCTGTTTCCAGCTCTCTCTCCAAATCGAGAGAGCTTCTCCAGAGAGAGAGAGAGAGACTTTACAGGTGGTTCTTCTCACCCTTGACTCGTATTACAATTTGGGCTCTATTGTTGTTGGGGACACTAGCTATTCTTGAATTCGCCTGTCTGTCGCTTGCTTTTGACTCATTCCTTCTCATTTCTTAGCTGTTTGTTCGTTTTCCTTGAAGTTTTTATCTTTTGGGCTTCGGGCTGTTTTCAGTCTCGGGATCCCCTTGTTCTTCTTTGTTCTTTCTCTATTGCTTATACAGATCCTTGAGGAACTCGATCCCCCCATCGTCTCTGCTCCCATTCTTCTCCCGGGTTTTTTTTTTCTCCGGATTCATTCGGTGATTATTCTGTCGTTCACCAATCTCTCTCCGTCTGTGCGTGTGATTCTTATGGAAGGTGATTACCATAGACGCGGTCTGTCGGTAAGAATTTCGTCTGATCTCCTTTGATCATTCCAAATTGTTTTGTCGGAATGATCAAGTAGATATCTGTGTCCCCCCCTCCCCCAGTTTTCATAGTTGATCTAATGCGTAAAGGTGCAAACTTTAGGTGAATTTCAATCTATACCCAACAAACTACCTGTCTTGCACATGATCAGAATTCATTTAGTTTATGCAATGTGATAGTACTTCAAATCTCCACCTTCACACTAGGCATCTGCAGCATTAGATTGTCGGGGAGATTCCATTTTTTTTTCTTTTTCCTTGTAGTTTGACATGGAAAGCTCTCTGTATAAATCTCATGCAAAAACATTGTGAGTAATATGATGATGATGATGATGATGATGATGATGATGATGGTGATGATGATGATGATGATGGTGATGCAGGGGAATGACAGTTCACCCGGTTACTTTGTTCGGTTGGATAAACCAAGAGCAGTAGACGATCTGTATATCGGCAAAAGAGCAAAAATGCGAAGGTGGCTCTGCTGTGCTTGTCACGTTGAAGAACCTTACCACTTACCCAAACACGAGAGCCTGAAAATTCCTCGGCACATCAACAACATCGGTACGTCTAACTACGAGAAATGTTCAAGTCATTCTAGTAAATTCTACTCTCTGTTATATGAGTGCAATTGGTCGATGATTCTGTAAAAGGATCAAACTTTGTGAATAGGTGAATCTCAAACACGTTACAGTAGAAAAATGGTGAAGGGAGTTTATTCTTCTTCGTCTTTTCGGGTTTTGAAATCGATGTGGGTTTTCTTTGTTTAGTTCCTCTGTTTCAAACTTGTTGTATAGAGTACAGGTTAGTTCCTCCACGCTGAAACCTTTTGAATGAGTTAGTTCCATACCCGTCTTCTTGTCATGTTTTTTTTTGGCATATGAAGGATATGGAAGAAAACCGCCGGCTGCTGTGAAGCCTCCTGCTGTCCCGAGGGAGCCTCCCCCGATCGATGTGCCAGCTTTGTCATTGGACAAGTTAAAAGAAAAGACGGACAATTTCGGTTCAAAGGCATTGATCGGAGAAGGATCATATGGAAGAGTATACTATGCAAACTTGAATGATGATGATGAAGCAGAGGCTGTGGCAGTGGCAGTGAAGAAGCTTGATAATTCAGCCAAACCTGAATCAGATGTCGAGTTTTTGACACAGGTTTGTTGTATGGAATCCGATGAAATATGCACATTCCGATGTTATTGTTCGAGCGAATTGTATATCTTCTTCCATTGCTTTCAACAGGTCTCTAGGGTTTCGAAGCTGAAGCATGAAAATTTCGTTCGGCTCCTCGGCTACTGCATTGAAGGGAATATCCGAATCCTTGCATACGAGTTTGCCATTATGGGATCCTTGCACGACATTTTGCACGGTAGGAAGAGCGATCTTTCTTTTTTTAACGTGTGATTCAACATTGAATGGTGGATAAACGGATAAATTTCGTGTCGAAACAGGAAGAAAGGGAGTACAAGGGGCGCAGCCAGGTCCGACCCTCGACTGGATGCAACGAGTGAGAATAGCGGTCGATGCAGCGAGGGGCCTAGACTACTTACACGAGAAATTCCAACCTCCGATAATCCACAGGGACATTCGTTCTAGTAATGTGCTTCTCTTTCAAGGCTTCAAGGCCAAGATTGGTGATTTTAACCTATCAAATCAGGCTCCCGATATGGCGGCTCGCCTTCATTCTACCCGAGTTTTGGGAACCTTCGGTTACCATGCACCCGAGTAATGAATAATGCTTCAGAATCTCGTTCACAGAGACAACAATACGATAGGAATTGGAGAAATGAATCTGACACTTATTATCTTGCAGGTATGCAATGACGGGCCAGTTGACACAAAAGAGCGATGTGTACAGTTTTGGTGTCGTGCTCTTGGAGCTTCTGACAGGGAGAAAACCCGTTGACCATACAATGCCGCGTGGTCAACAGAGTCTCGTCACCTGGGTGAGTACCAAAACCCTAATCTCTCTCCGGAAAACCTTGCTTCGGGATTTACCTGAACTTCCTTCTTCTCTGTCAGGCAACACCAAGGCTGAGTGAAGACAAAGTGAAACAATGTGTTGATCCAAATCTCAAAGGAGAATACCCTCCTAAGGCAGTTGCGAAGGTAAAATGTGTATAAACACTTATTCATCTCAGTCTCAGCCAATCCATTCCTATTTTCTGGGGAAAACTGGCAAAGATTCCAAACTAGAAAAGCTAATGAAGATTCTTTTATGATTTGCCTTTTTTTCTGTTATTGATGACAGCTTGCGGCAGTGGCAGCATTGTGCGTGCAATATGAAGCAGAGTTCAGGCCAAACATGAGCATTGTAGTAAAAGCCCTGCAGCCACTGTTGAGGCCTCCATCCACGGCAGCAGCTCCTGCCCCACCTGAAACTTAATCCTCTGTAAACAGAAATACCCGTTACCTCCTTCGTCTGGTAAATTCAAGATTTCTGCATCATTTCCGGAAAAGTTTGGTAATCCATGTCCATGGTTTTCATCTGCGGATATCTGCAAGACACGAAGAGTGTTTCCGCTGCATTTTCTTTTCCTTTTCGATGAATGTGTAAGAAGATGAGATAGTTAGGGATTGAGTTCATTGGTGGGAGGGATGTGTTATAACGTTTGCCCGTTTGGTAATGGCAACACAAATGTACCAAACTCTAAATCGCTTCCAAGTTTGGATCTAATATATGATCTTTTTATATACAACGAAATCGTAGTTGGGGTTTGAACATCTGATCTTTTATTGAAATGAATGTTGTGAAAAATATATTGGTGTAAGGAATAACAAGAAAGTATGGCAGGACATGCTATAACTGAACTTCCCAGGGCAATCTAAAGTAAAGAAGAATCTAACAGGAACATGTGAGACTTCACCTGATAGCAAGAGGCATGCTGAGACAGCATCTTTTGTTCCTCTTCTGAAGGTTTTTCTGCAAGAAACATGAAGTCTAGTACTTCAGTTGTAAGAAACTCGAACCGAGCTGTATAATTCACGAGAAAGGATCAACACAAACTAGACATGGAATTTTCTGATTTTAAAAGGAATTTACCAGTGCACCAAACCAAGAGCCTCTGCAGCACTTCTATGACTATCCTCACTGCAGCAGATCCCGATGAATTTTTTCAGCAGAGTCTGCCTCTCTTCCAGCTTCATCAGCTTCTCCAAGCCTCGTGCAACCATTTCCATCTCAGCCTGAGGAGAAAATACAGCAACACAAATAACATAAAAAAGACAAAAGAAAAGAAAGGGCCGCGGGAATATGTTCAGAAGAAAAATCTTAAATTGAAGAAAAGCACATACAGAGGACTCATCGGGAGGGAATATACGATGAACAACGCATATTTTTGAAAGCTCCGCCACTGATTCAGAATGTTTGCCTTGTATTTCCAAAGCCTGCAATGCAACAAACACAGGGAAGTGCTCAGAAGTTAGAAATGCAAGCTATGATATAGAAACATAGTTCAGGACATAAGTCCTCCAGCTCCGGCCCAGTAAATGCAAGATTACCAAATAGCCAAGGATACATGACATGCAGTTTGTGACATTTACAATATAACCAATATATACACTAGAGAATGGATGGATAGACAACCCAAGCCTGTAGAAACCAGGAACGAGTGCGTGCAGCAACGGTAGCAGAAACCATCCGAGCAGCATCGGTTTTTTCAAGTTCAACGTTCTCGGAAAGGCCGGCAATAAAATCCCGGGCATCCTCACTATCAATCTCGACAGCAGTAGACTCCGAAGAAGCCCTACAAAGGTTGTCAAACATGTTCTATTTCTAAACAGACCAGAAGACAACCAACTGGAATCTACGAGGTCAGAGGAAGCACACCTGCTGCAGACATTTAAAACAAAATCAACAGATGTACGGTAGAAGGAATCCCGGGTGTTTGCTGGCTCGATAGAGACTTGTATTCCGGCAATCCGGCATAATCTCCGCAGCTGCCTACGAAAATAATCCAATCACAGGAAGTACAGGTAACACAATACTGATGATAACATTTTGCAAACCTTTAGAAACATGGTAACACAGTCAGATGGGAAGAAACGAGGCTAACCCGGATTATATCATCCTCCATAATGTCCTTCCCGCTGATTCTATCATCAACCATTGCTGGAAACAAGCTGATAAGTTGCATTTGTAGGATGAAAGTATGGAAAACACATGTATTACAATTTTCTTTAAAAAAAAGATGAAAACTTTCGACCTTTACCTGCAAAAAAGAGAAAAAAGGGGTAAAACCAATGATACTACGATCTACCCAAAAGATTTCCAGCAAAGATAGAATGAGAATTTGGCATGCGGTTTCAAAGTTTTAGAATTGACCTCGAACCAATCTGTTGGCTTCTCTTTGATAGTCCTCCTTATCAACATCCCAGCTCTGGCTTGTCAATGAAGTCGGCCACCATTTCGGCAATTTCTGCTGAGCTCTGAGTGAGAAACTCGAGGGGCTCGTGTTCCTTCGAGAGACATGACCAGAAGAAGGCATGGAGCTCCTCGTATCTCTCGAAGGGGCACGACTGGTTTCAACCGCAACGACCACTTCTCTGCCACCGAGACTCCGGTCTCTCCGAACCACCAACTTGGGTTTACTCTCGAACGAACTCCTAAAAAGCGATCCTAAATTCACAAGAGCCCTAACAGCAAAAACAAAGACGAATCCAGTCACAACCAAACCGCCAATGAACTGCATCGTCGATTTCCTGCAGGAGACGACGAGTCGCCGGTTATCGTCGAGGGAGACGAGACTCTGGAGGTCGGAGAAGGCGTCTCTGCCGGAGTCGAGGAGCCAATGGAAGCGTGAAGAAGCTAGGGTTGAAATCCGGTGAACGTCGAGGACCAGGCTGAGACTCTGATCCTCGGAGGAGGAGGTAGAGAGGCTGAGAAGGCTGCCGTCGCCGCCATGGTCGGAGGCTCTTCGCCGGCGAGGGCGAGGGCGGGAACGTCGCCGTTTCGGCGCCGAGAAGGATGAGAGAGGAGCTCTGTAGACTGGCCATTTGGTGACGAAGAGACGCGGTGAAGAAGAAGAAGAACACGAGGAGTTCATATCTCCTCTATTTTTTGCGCTCTGTGATGCGACGAAGTCCAAAGCTTTGTGGACTGCTGAGACAGAGGGAGAGAGGGAGTTCCGTTGTTGGTTGGTGAAGAAGATACGAATCTCGGTTAACTCGAACCGGTCGATTTAACCTCACCCGGTTAACTAGCGATGAAATAGAAGGAAAGCTATCCGACATCCGTGACCATTTCAGGCGTTGATTCGGTTACATTAGAGGTCGATATTTCGGTTATATAAAACTATAGTCATTTGGATTTTATATCAAATTCAGTTCAATTTCATTCCATTTCATTTCAATTTATTTCGGTTCAAATTTAATTTTTATTGATAAAAATATTCATTTTTCAATAATATTTCGTTTTTACAATTATGTTTTATTTGATTTATTTCGATTTGAATTCAATTTTTTCGGATTAGAAAATATAACCATTCGATATACTGTTATACATTAGTTCGAGTTTTGATTATTCAGTTATTAACTAAATTGACCACAAATTACAAAAACCAAATTGGCCCGACCCTAAGAAAATCAAACAGGAATAAAATTTCTATCACTTAATAAGATTTTTCCCAAGTGTGTACAAAAAAAAAAGCAAGCTGATGACAATATGGTGTTTTGCATTCAAGATTACATAAAAAAAAAAGAGAGGGAAGAGAAGAGCTTCTTTTGCTTTAGTATATAACTAACTATCAACGACCTGAGGGAGCGGAAAACGAGTCGTCCCACGAGGTTTATTCATCGTATCCCGGAAATATCCTATCGAAATCTCGGATTTCTCGGACAATCCAGGCCAAAAGAATTTCGTCGAATCAAAATCCTGCAGCAACAAGTACCAATTGGAGATGAATATACCTTATACACATGATGCATGCTCTGTTCATTTCTACCTAGGTTCTTTCCGGTGATCGAATAAAGCCGGGCGGATAAAACAAAAATCTGATCTTTCTCGGGGGGATTATACATGACAGCCTACGATCTCTCTAGACGGAGTTATCGTAGTATTTTAACCACAGTGGAAGAGAAAGAGAGAACATACTCGTAGGGAAACTTGTTGTATAGAGTACAGGTTAGTTCCTCCACGCTGAAACCTTTTGAATGAGTTAGTTCCATACCCGTCTTCTTGTCATGTTTTTTTTTGGCATATGAAGGATATGGAAGAAAACCGCCGGCTGCTGTGAAGCCTCCTGCTGTCCCGAGGGAGCCTCCCCCGATCGATGTGCCAGCTTTGTCATTGGACAAGTTAAAAGAAAAGACGGACAATTTCGGTTCAAAGGCATTGATCGGAGAAGGATCATATGGAAGAGTATACTATGCAAACTTGAATGATGATGATGAAGCAGAGGCTGTGGCAGTGGCAGTGAAGAAGCTTGATAATTCAGCCAAACCTGAATCAGATGTCGAGTTTTTGACACAGGTTTGTTGTATGGAATCCGATGAAATATGCACATTCCGATGTTATTGTTCGAGCGAATTGTATATCTTCTTCCATTGCTTTCAACAGGTCTCTAGGGTTTCGAAGCTGAAGCATGAAAATTTCGTTCGGCTCCTCGGCTACTGCATTGAAGGGAATATCCGAATCCTTGCATACGAGTTTGCCATTATGGGATCCTTGCACGACATTTTGCACGGTAGGAAGAGCGATCTTTCTTTTTTTAACGTGTGATTCAACATTGAATGGTGGATAAACGGATAAATTTCGTGTCGAAACAGGAAGAAAGGGAGTACAAGGGGCGCAGCCAGGTCCGACCCTCGACTGGATGCAACGAGTGAGAATAGCGGTCGATGCAGCGAGGGGCCTAGACTACTTACACGAGAAATTCCAACCTCCGATAATCCACAGGGACATTCGTTCTAGTAATGTGCTTCTCTTTCAAGGCTTCAAGGCCAAGATTGTGGCCATGGAAAAATAACAAAAGGCGACGAGAATTTCAGTAAAGGCGTCAGAGTAGAAAAAGTAGGCTAAGGGGATGGATGTGTGTTCTTCACCTCTTCGTTTGCTCCCGCTGCCATGTTAAGGAATGAGTCCTTTGCCCTGCAGTGATGAAGTTAAAAAACGGTGGAAATATGTTAAATTCATCTGTTGTGACATTTTCTTTTTCAATCTTGTTAAAATTATCCAAAAAAGAAAATTATCAGAATGATTCATATGAACAGACCTATGATGATCATCCGGGGCATTGACCAATTCGAGTTTCCCGTTCTGCTGCTCATCTCTGACTTTTGATAGAGGCGAAAAGAACTGAATAAAAAACAAGGCGAAAAAAACGTTAGGACGAAATTCCAACATGAATGAAGTAAACCTAAAAATTGATCCGGCCAGAGGACTGTCCATAATCCTTATTATTACTACCTGGTGCATTGAAATGAAAACAATAGAAATCCCCAGAAGGAAGTTCATGGTTAGAATGTGTCCGAAGAGAGCTGCAGATGCTATTCCAGTAAATATTGTGGCAACGGTGGATGAATACTTCTTCAAGATTGTATCTGAAATCCCCAAATACAAATTCAGCATCCACAGAGAATTTTTATACAGTGGAATCCACTGAATACATGCAGCAAAGGCATATTCAAGCTTCCGAATGCGTTGAACCACCGTTATCCAGATTCATCCTGAAACCAATCTGTTTTTAAATAAATAATCTAACCAAACTGAGTGTGATATTACCAGCATATTTGAAGAAAAAGGAAGACAAAATTCCCTGTGCTGCATTGTTAAATATGAGAAGCATGGTAGCCTTAGAATGTCCTTGCAAGATGTCAAAACTGCTAGGACCTGTAAATTTTGAGACAGAAATTTTACTCAGCAATGCATTATGATAATTATAAGAAACACCATCACTCACAAGCTGTCAGAAACTATTATGATACTGAATTTGTTTCAAGTGCTCATTTGTCTACAACACAACTACAAATTTTTCCATACCTTTAAAGATAGCTATTCCTAGTATCGCAAGAAAGTTGAATATTGCTCCATAACCATAGAGAAATAAGTTCTGCACCAGGGAAAACGTCCTCATTTTAGAGCATAAAATACAAAGGAGAAAACAAAAAACTAGAACAACATGGTCCTAAAATTTGACATCAACACTAAAAAAACAAAAGGGTCTACCTCAGCCGAGGACCCACAGTTCGAGTACATAGAACTACAAGCATATCATTTCCTCACTGCATTATGGACAATAATATGCATCACAATCATCTAACCTGAAGATAAATGCTTGTCTCGTACTGGCTCTTCAGAGCGTACTCATTGTAGACAGATGCCAAAGATGGAATAGTTACCTGCATAATGATTTGCTGCATAAGTCTCTGACATGCATAACAACTGTTTTCCTTAATGTGTTAATGGGAGGAAAACAAAAGACCCTCGACATACAAGAATAGTTCTTAGAGACATGAAATAAGTATCGAAACAACTCTAAGCTATATGTACAAGAAGAACGAATATAAGCATCCAAAAGAATAACTTACGAAGATCAGGGTATATATGTATGCACCCGTAGTGACAGGAAGACCTAAAGCAGCAGAACCTTCAGGCAGAGAACGCAGCTGATTTACGCTAATCCCTATCAGCAATAGAGCGAGTGCTTCCCACTACGAAAAACATAAAGAGAAGCATGGATTCAGAAACAGAAATAAATGGCAGATCAAAACTTCCGTGACAAGGATAAAAACAGACTTCCACAATCATGCTGAATTATAAAGGAAAAGAATCGTGTTAATGTAAGCAGTAAGAATAATACAAAGCAACCTAACCTGTATGATGGAAAAGCGCCTTTTCATTATCATCTTCAACAGAACTGCAATAACCAGAACCTTTAGATTGCTGAGCATCTTCACAGTAGCAGGGTTGAAATAGAGCTGGCAAACAGAAGCTTTTTTTAGCGTATAAAAGAAAAAACAAACAAGTGGGTGCTAGCAGATGTAGATAAATGCACCACAGCAGTATTCAAAGGAAGATAGGTATAAGTGTTTAATCACTAATGATTTACATCACGTGGTCCACAATCAAATTACCATTGTATATGAATTTATCCAGAAGTCAATCCCGCGGGAGACTCAAATTCACCCAAAGGCAGCAATAACAAAATGCCAAAAGGTATAGATGGCAAAAAAAGAAAAAGGGAAAACACGGAGGGAAATAATGCACATATGTAGAAACTGAGATGCGTAGATGAGAGATTAAAAATACAGGACTAACAGAAGTTGAAATGATAAAACTTTGGTTTCCAGGATGCTATCAGAGCTAGAGATTTTTGTCAACATGATCTATGTTATAGAATTTACACTCCAAATCCTTGATCACCAAATTTCTTTTGCAAACAGCCAAGGTTCCACATATCCGATAATGCTGATAGTAAGCCAAGCAGAAGACACATCAATCAACTCTGCATGTGTTTTCAAGCTGGGGGAAAAGCACTGCCCATGACCCTAATGTCAAAAACAATACAAGACATGTTCTTCCCCAAGAGGCAAGAACCAAAACCTTTGGTGGCGACAATACAAAAACTAAAGTATTTTCCAATTTATGTCTACAGTCAGAGCATTAAAAATAGCTTAACAAGGCAATTTAACATGTGGGATGAAAAATAAAAAGGGTTTGTACCTGCATGATGAACTTCAGATAGTTGTTAATAGCATACAGAAAAGCTGGAACAGCAAGAAGAACATTGTTTCTAGCAGCCTGCAAGAAAACATATTGTGTAGCAGCAATGCTCAACATAGGAAATTAATGAATTAGATATATTAAGAATTACCATGCAGCATCTACAATGCAAACTATTGCACTTGGATATGCATGGCTTTGTAAAGTTTTGTAATCACCAACTAATTGAAGTCTAAACAAATAATGCATAGCTTTGTAAATGTACTTATAGGTGCACATGTCCTCATGCAAGCAGATCCATAGATGTCCATATATGGCTCAATGTTTTGTTATTACTCATCCAAAATTCTGATTCTCCTAAAAGCCTTACCTCGAGGCACTAAAAAAAGATAAGTGATGCATGAACTTATTGACGCTAGAAAAGAAAGTGATACCCAGAAGAGCTATGTAGGGCACCAGAAATATCAACATACGCCTAGCTATTGAACAATAAGGAACTCTTAAAAATGCCAAAATGCAATTGTACAGCAGCATCTTTCTTACAGCACAACATCAGAATCTTGATTAACCGAGAAAGGAGTACCTGGACAAATGTTGAAAGAGATAGGATTGGCTTCTCTCCAACTTTTTGGTGCCTAGCCTAAAAATGACCACAAAAGTAGAATATCAAAGTAACGCTCACTGTTCTTCAAGGGGAAGCAAGCGACAGACAAAACAAGCAATAAGTGAAGGACCAAAAAACAGTGTATACATAGAAAACTGAACGTGAACCCTCTTTGCCTCCCACTACCAGTAAACCAACATCAGAATTCCTAATTATCGAACCGCATAAGGGCAAAGGGCTACTAGTGAAATTTCGATTCCTAGCCCTCTCTTTGACCATCATTCAACACCTTTCATGTTCTAATTCAGAAGAAATGTCTAGCAACTAGTCCTAGACGGACAGCACTTTTGGATCACAACAACACTGCAACGGGAGCATAAACTAGTAAGGTGGAGATTATGAATCCAGTTCGTTCAGATCTTGTCCTTATCTACCTTGAGTCATCCATTAAGAGCATCCATAATTCTTTAGAAATGGAGTCAAACCAGAAACATACCTGGAACAAAAGCATGACAACAGCAAAAAGAACCTTGGCCATTTCCGTCAAGAAGTTGACACTAACAGGACTGAAGTTGAATTTTCCATCCACCTTAGACATGTAAACTAAGACAGGCTGGAAGAAACCGATAAAAATAAGTAATTTTAGACATAAATAATGAACTTTAGAAGAAGGGAGAGTACAAAAAGTTACAGGATAACTTTAACAATTGATAAACAAAAACCATCAGGCAGCATTGTCAAGATGTCATTGAAGAAATATACAAACTTTCTTAATTTATTTCGCAAGAGGCATCGGCACAGTCCTGACTCCAAAGGCAAAGAATTCAAAGTTGATTTTAACAAAGTCAAATCAAAAGAATTTACCTGTAAACCAACTAGGATGCAGTCACCAACTACCAGAAAGACATTAAGAGCGCGGTGTTTTGAAGACACCCTAATCTTGTGGTTGTCGTAAGCCCTTGATACGGTTCTGCTAGTCGGAGAAACCAATCTCGAATGACAAACACTGCACTCTACCATCCCGTTCTTCATCAGCCTTCTCCAACTGATAATTCTAGAGTGAGCTGAACCTGAAAACAGCAGCAGCAGCAACAACCAAGAGCAGTCAGAAATCATGCTACCCGAATCCATCCTTTCCAACCAAATGTTCTCATAACTCGGAGCAAAATTTCAACTCCCGGGAGAACTAAAGCCAGAAATTAATCAATTTCCAGAATTTTACATAAAAACAGGAGACTGCATAAAAGAGTAACGATCTTCCAGACTACCGAACGAGAACTCATGATCCGATCTCATAAGCGGTAAATCACACTAATTCACAGAGAAAATGGCCGAAAAGAGATCTCAAACATCAACCGCGGATCCTAAACTCCCAGTTTTCTGCACAACAATCCAACTCGAAATTTCAAAACCTGAATCAGATCGATCAAACTGACCTTAATCAACGTGAACGATCAGCTCAACAAAGCATTCCCCAATAAGACTCTCTAACCCAAAACGTGTAATCTACTCGGCCAGATCCGAACCTCCACCTCCGGAAGAATTCGATTATCTATCTATATCACTCTTATCTGAGATCCAAAATCAGAAATCCAACAGGATCTAGAAATCTCCTCCAGCTTCACTGCAGTAAAGATTCGAGGAATATGCAGAGAGAGAATCCGTCGGTGTTGTTCCTTAAACAGAAGTCCGCCCTTATTCTGGCACGGCCTCTTTGCTTTCATTTCACAACACCGTTTCTTTTTTCTTTTCTAATAGCGTTTCTTCTTATAACTTGTAAATAAAGGACGCTCGAAAATATAAATTAAAATATATTTTTTTAAATGTCCCTCTCCGTCACTGACACGTGCAGTTACTAGTGCGACAGACCAATTAGGTTTGAGGATTCCGGTGGGAAGCGAAATATGAGTGGCTGAGTAGGGTGACGTGGCATGCGGGTGATAGAGAGACTGTGGACGAAGTCTTTGTTTCGGTCGGATGTAATTGTTTTGTAACACCCGGAATTAGGCACATTTGCAACGACTACTAACACTTATTTTAAAAAATATATACTAAATTATTTCATAAAATATCGGTAGATTTTTTTTTCCTAATTGTGACAAATGTAACAAAAAAGTGGACAATATGTTATAATTGTATAAATCAAAGTGATATATAAAAAAAACACGAATACAATTAATTTTGGGTGATATTTATATATTAATCCGACCAAATTGGAGAACATGATATTATGTTTTGCAACAAGTCGTGCACACACAATCTGCATGAACAAAACCACATGCTTACACGCATAGATATACACATACAACCCCTCAACCAAAACACTAAAAAAGAAGAATAATTGCCTCGCCGTCCAATATATAAACATGAATATAACCTCATATATATATATATATATATAGGTGAATTTATGAGTTTTTTTTTTAACAATTACCATAATCAATTTGGTAAAACCTTGTAATCCATTAAATAGAAACATTTAGTTAGTTTGATCTTTTCCCACATGGAAAACGGTATCGTTTCATAACCTATATTTACGTGTTGGGCCTTGATACGGCCCATAAGGTCCATTAAGGGTCCATATAGTATGATATTTTTTGAATAATAAAAAAAACTAAATCCTTGGTGGACCCCACAAGGCGGAAATCCCAACGGTGGGTTTTTTGCTAGGTTAGGTGGCGAGTAGGATACGAGAGGGTGACTGGAGTGGGAGCTGAGCAAAAATCTTCCCTTTCTGTCTCCTCATTTTCTGCGTGATCTGTTTGTTTCTCGAGAAAATTTTTCAATCCGTCTCGAAGATTGAAGGAGACAATGATGTTCGCTCGATCGGTGTTTCGATCTCAGCTGAGACCTTCGCTTTCAGCTGTGGAGAACGTTTCCTGCTGCCGTTACTCTTCCTCCTCGGCTGCTGCCGCTGAAGCTGAGAGGACGATCAGTGAAGGTCCCAGGAATGACTGGACCAGGGATGAGATCAAAGCTGTATATGATTCTCCTGTTCTTGACCTCCTCTTCCATGGAGTAAGTATCTCTTCTCTCTATGCGGAGAAACTGGAGGTGACTTGGGATTGATTAGCCTTGTCTGTTCGATGTCAGATATTCAATTCGTTGTTAATCTAGAATTTCACCGAAACCAAAAGATTCTAATTCATTCGTTCATTATGTAGCTTCAGTATTCTGTGTCTAGATTTATTATTCAGCTCTACGGAACCATTTCTCTTGAAACCCAGAAATTCAAGACTTCAATTTTTTTTCCTCGGTTCTTTACGCCAAGTATTGTTATCTCCATGCCCCTTGATGCAATTTCTCTTTGGCTTTGGGTGGTCGGTTTCAAAATTATGTTAAAAGACGTGCCTTTACGTGATGGTGATGCGGAGTGTGCTCTTTGTTGGATCCAGGCTCAAGTTCACAGGCATGCTCATAACTTCAGGGAGGTGCAGCAATGTACACTCCTCTCCATAAAGACTGGTGGATGCAGTGAGGATTGTTCATATTGTCCTCAGTCATCTAGATATAACACTGGAGTGAAGGCTCAAAGACTAATGTCCAAGGAAGCTGTGATTGAAGCAGCAAAGAGAGTTAGTAGTTATTTTGATTTCTTTGCTAAATCGCGGAATACGAGCATTCTTGCTTGCTTAATAGTCTATGGTGATGTAAATATATGGGAGGTTCGAGTAGGCAAGGAGACTTTGTGGTTCGAATTTTGTTCTGAGAGGCCGCTTCCTAACATAGATCTTGCTTTCTCCAGTAGTTTAGATATACTTCCTTGTGCGGCTACTTTCTTCACTAGAACTAGGAAACATTAAGTTTCAGGATGAGAACTGAAATAGACCTTTTAATTTATCTTCATACTCGTTGAAAACTTAATAACTTCATATAATCTGAGATTTATTGGATTCTTTCAAGAATCTGCTGTTAATTTCAATTTTTAATTTTTATGTTAGGCAAAAGAAGCTGGCAGCACACGTTTTTGCATGGGTGCGGCTTGGCGTGACACAATAGGAAGGAAGACCAATTTCAACCAGATTCTTGAATATGTCAAAGAAATCAGGTGAACTTTCAGCTGACAGCAGTAACAACTGGAAAAGTTTACTACTTTCCAGTACCAAGCATGATTGCCTTTCACAATCCTAAGATTAGTTCTATTAAGTCGTTTCGCCTTTAGCTACATCCCAAACAAATTTGTTGAGCCCCTACTACTATGCAGAATCGATGCTCGATATAGTCTTAAATTTCTAACATTTCAGTTGCCTTTTAACACCTTTCAGTTAAATTTATTAACTTTCCATGTACAACAGGGACATGGGAATGGAGGTGTGCTGCACCTTGGGTATGCTGGAAAAGCAACAAGCTTTAGAACTCAAGAAGGCTGGCCTTACTGCTTATAACCACAATCTTGATACCTCAAGAGAGTACTACCCAAACATTATCACCACGAGAAGTTATGATGAACGCCTTGAAACTCTTAATCATGTTCGCGAAGCTGGAATCAATGTCTGCTCAGGTAATTTGGATACAGACAGAAGATATTTGTATCGTGTAATCTTCTTCACATCCCCTAAAGCGATATTTTTAACAAATAGAAGGCAAAGATCTGCCTTTGGCTTCGTCTTAAAACTATATTCTCCCTGAAAAAGGAAATATCCATGTACTTCCTAGCCAAACTTACACACGCTTCTTTTACAACAAACAGGGGGAATTATAGGGCTTGGAGAAGCAGAGGAGGACAGAGTTGGATTGTTGCACACATTGGCAACACTTCCAACTCATCCAGAGAGTGTTCCCATCAATGCATTAATCGCGGTGGAAGGCACTCCTCTTCAAGATCAGAAGGTATCTCTTTCGCTCAAAGGACGTAATGCTCTAAAATATCATTCTCACTCTATACTTGTCTAGATGAAAACCCTTTCTCTAAGACGGCCCGTATTCTACTTCATGAAAATGCATCACATCCAGATAATTTCATGTGTCAGGATAGCCGAAGCATGTGTTTTATGATTAGAAGACCAGCTGCATTAAGCCATTCTTCCATCTCATACCACCTTATGTCTCTCACTTCTGCATTTTCTAGCGATAGATTCGTAAAAACTTGATATTCTTTTTGCAGCCGGTTGAAATATGGGAGATGATACGGATGATAGCAACGGCACGCATAGCAATGCCAAGATCAATGGTGAGGTTATCAGCAGGAAGAGTAAGATTCTCAATGTCGGAGCAGGCGCTGTGTTTCCTTGCAGGAGCCAACTCTATATTTACAGGTGAAAAGCTTCTTACTACTCCCAACAATGATTTTGATGCCGACCAGCTTATGTTCAAGATCCTTGGCCTCAATCCCAAGCCACCGTCTTTCCCTGAAGACGAATCCGAATCAGAACAACTTGCTTCTGCATCTCACTGAGGAGGATAAAAGGACCATTTTATTGTTTTGGCCTCAAGGCTCATTTGTTTCATCTCACTAAGTTCATGAACTTTTATTGCCGATTTTAGGAATTTTATGTTGTGAGACTGGAATCCTCTCAAACCCTTCCCTTGTGAGAAATATAAAATCGGTTTTCTGTTGCAATTTTCAGCCAACTTTGAATCTGGCAGTACTAGCTAAACGGATAATCCATGCAGTTCTATATGGCAGTAAATTGTAGTAGTAGAAGAGAAACTAGACAATAGATATAAGGATTAATCAACATGGAATTTAAACAATACAAAAAAAAAAGGACACCAAATTCACCACATTATAAATAATAAACAAAACTGTCAGAGTAAAATTTCTTGCAAATGAAAGAAGAGATTGAATAAAAATGAACATCCCAACTGTAATGGCATGTTTGTTCTGCCAATAACTTTCAGTAATTCCTCCTCCATAAATCAGGAGAAGAGAAAAGAAGAGGGTGAGAAGGATCAAGCGCTCCTCTTGCTCAAGAAGTATTCGCCCACCGTCAGGAACACATGTTCTCCCATAGCCACAGTCACAGCAGGCAGCTTCTCAATGCAACTCACAGTTATCTGGCAGACATCAAACCCAGAAGAATCAGTAAAAGCCAGCCTCGATTGAGGAGTTTCTCTCTGCTTTTCCAAAAGACGATAAACTAGTTTTCGTGAAAAGGGGGAATCATAGAGGACGGAACGAACCTTCCCATCTCCAACTTGGAACTCAGATTTCAAACATGAGTGATCCCTCGATAACAAGTATGTTTGCAGCCCAGATGCAAACTTTGCATTTCCTGGAACCATCAATACACTAGTTAGAACAAGATGGAGAGAGAAAGAGAGAGAGAGAGAGAAGTGGGTTCAGCTCAGTGTCATTGCCAGAGCCACACGGTCTACAATCCAGTGAAGTGAGATGAGATGAGAGAGAACTGACCTGAGTACAGAGTGAGAATGGCATCCCCGTTGAACATCAATGCTGGTCTCGCCAAACTAATTTTGAACGACAACTTCGAGACACCATGGAAACTCTCATCCGAAATCAGAACCTATGCAAAATTAAAAATGACAGTTGGGGAGATTGGGAGCAATATATAAGCAGATATGGCGGAGGAGACGGTGGGTAGTAGCTTACTGCATGAGGTGGCATTGAAGTAGAAGGAAGCAAGGTGGAGCCAATTGCATCCCTTATGTATTGTTCCTGCACACCAAAACAAGATTGATAACACACACAACTTGCAAGTAAATAGCAAGCAGCAAGCAGTGAGTCACAAAGAGTCAATCTTCAGCCTGCCCCTACTGTTACGTATAACTAAGGACAGCCAGCTGAAAGGCATTCCATTTAAAAAACATGACATTTCCATTTTGATACAGCGGATAACTTAAGGACAAAGCTGAAATGCATTCCATTTAAAAAACAGGGCATTTCCATTTTGATACGGGTATCACATCAAATGTAGGTCCATATACCTAGACAAATAATAATGTAACAAAGTTTTACCTGGGAGTTCAAAACTTGCTGTGAGAGTGATTTATCCTCATCCAATGATTCAAAGTACACTTCCACAAAGTCAGTTGGTTCCAGAGCTGCCTTCTTCCGTAGTTTCTGGATTCTATTGACGATCTATGACACATGGAGACAAAAGTTCATGAACGACAACACCTTGAAAAAACAGCTGCTCCATCCGGAATTTAGTAGTTCTGATATAGAAAAGAGAACCCGTAGCAAATTTCTAAGACTTGAAAGCGAACTTAACAAATCATTTCTTTGTATGTCATCACACTGCTAAAAGAAGCTAATGGATTATCCTCGAAAGAAAATTGAAGAAATATATACAAACTTTGCATGTCTCAAACTATCACTATTGACTATCCAGAATGTAAAGTAATTTACTTTGTTTTCAACTTCAGTTTACACTTCAATATATTGATATATTTACCTCACGGGCAACACCTGCTTCAAACAAAGATTCATCTGCGCGTAGGTCCAAAATCACCAAAACATCACCTGCAGAATGAAAGCAAGTGAATAGGCTTGTACGTTAGCTTATATCAAAGAAGTTAATCATACAACATCACTGATTAATCGAATATTCATACCATCTCCAGCTGCATCAATCTCCTTTTCAGACAGACCGTCAGGACGTTTGAAATCCCTGACAACCTGAATAACCAGGTGAAGCAAAGCAGTCAGATTTTATGCTTCAAATCCCATCAAAAGTCGGAACACCTCACATTCATATTATTTACTCTAATTTAAAACCAAAACCATAGATTTTAATGAGCTTAAGCATGACAGACCTTGATATCAGTTAGCTTCAGAGAGTGTCCAGCAATAGTTACTTCTCCAGCCTTCTCAAATGTTAAGATGTCTTGCTGTGACATTGCCTTAACCTCCTTGGCAACAACCCCCATGGACTTTCCGAGTCGTTTTCCCAATACACTGAAGCAAAGAAGAAACAAACTCACATTCTATATTTCTTTGGGAAAAGATATAGCACAAACTAGTACAAGAAACCTGATTTACCTGAAATCCGGCTCAGCGCGCAGAGATGCATACTTCAACGTATCATTGCAGGTAACAAGAGACCGTACGTTAAGCTCCTCCAAGACATACTGCAGAGGAAGAGAGTGGATTAGCCCCCAGCTATTGTTCCTTTCACTGTTAAGAAAAAGAACAATTGATATACAAAGCCTAGGATGGCCTAATTATTCCAAGGAGCCAATTGAACATTCCTTCTCTTCCGCATAATAATCTTTCCCTTTCAATTTTTGCACCGACATAAGGCACTAGAAACAGGTTTTGCATACTTCAATTGGTTAAACATTTTCTTCCTAAAACCCTCGCAGAATTTCTAACAGTGTTCTTTGCACACATAAGGTGGAGGAGACCCACAGCTTCAACAAGCAAAATTATGTGTTTCTACATCGACACAGACCTCTCTCAATTTTCCAGCTATGTCGTCCAAGAACTCTGCATCAGGATGGACTACAACCATCTCCCTGTAGCAACATACAGATACAATTATAAACTTTTACCCATTCTTCTAGCGTAGCGCTTTAGGTAATGACGAGTAGTTGCATCTAGATAACGACATATAAAAATATTAACAAAGTACAGAACTCACTTTAGAGGAGTTTTTAATGGCTTGTTGTGACGTTCACGAATGTTTCGAGCAAGATCAATGATTGTCATCATCCTTGCAACACTTTGCTCAATTCTCTCGCCTCTCTGTAGAAACATGTGTCAGAAAGTGCAAATTACAACAAAATTCAGATACAAAATTCATATTTCGTCACTATTTCTGGAGATAAGATTGGAAGTATTACCTTTCCCTCCACTTGAGGGGCACTGCAGTAGTGAATGCTTTCCTCTAAACCTTTAGAAACTTTCCGCAAATTCTGATATAAAGTCTCGGTAAAGAAAGGAGTAAAAGGGGCCATTACTTTGCAGGACGTCAGGAGCACCTGAAAATTTAGAACAAGTTACTATGCGTAATAGGGTACCATGAGATGTTGACCAAGTTAAACCATGACTTCCATGCAACTATTAACCATACATTGTAAAGAGTCGAAAGAGCAGTGCGACAATCATCTTCTCCTGTACGGCCTTTTAACCTCTTGCGGTTGAATCTAACATATATGTTTGTGAGATTGTCGAGGAACCTCAAGAGGTAAGGAACCACCTAGAAAGGGAAAAAAAAAGATAAAATAAATACAGAAAGAAATCAATATCTTATTTACCGACAAACAACTTAGTCTTCCAAAAAGACATGTCGACAGCTTACTGTGTAAAGCCGATATCCATCCATTTCCTGTCGGACAAAATGGACAAGACTCTGCGTAGCAGAGTTGATCCACTGATCGAGAACATTGGATGAGTTTTGTAAAGTTGCCAGATCAATAGGAACAAAAGGCCCAGAACCCTCGATCTCAAGTCTCTTTGCATTCTGAACAAGGAACCTATACGCATTGTACCAAGGAAGGAATACATCTTTGACCTGATGGTAGACAAATTAAAGACCAACGATCCTTCAGTCACATAATAAATGTCCCCCCGAAAAAGAAAGATATATAGAAATACCAACATCTTGTACCCTTAAGATTTAAAGATAATAAAGTAGCAGGAACAACAAAAGAACAGCTCAAAGCAAATTACTCACAACACCAAATACTCCGTCTTTTTTGAAGCGTAGAGTCTCCGCACGCACAACTGGAGAATTTATAAGGTATAATCGTAAGGCATCCTGTCAAGATACACATAAGATCATTAACAAAACATATTATACAATGGCAAGTTCTTCAGAAACATAAGTGCGCACTATGCAGCAACTTACAGCCCCATAGTCATTTATGACTTCCATAGGTGACGGATAATTCTTCAATTTCTTACTCATCTTCTTTCCATCCTCAGCAAGCACAAGACCATTGCAAATTAGGTTTCTAAAGGCTGGTTTTCCAAACAATGCAGTGGACAACACCATGAGAGTATAAAACCTGCAGGGGAAAAACCGCAGAGTGTTGATACATTATTCAGCTGGTTATATATCAGTATTAATAGAACATCTTATGTGTCCTTTGGAACTTTAAGAATCCCATAATATATCTATCCCCAACTCTTCTATTTCCGACAGCCATAGTTTTATATAGTCAGATACAAGGAGTTATTAGAAACTCTTCCATTTCTGGCAACTATCAAGGTAGTGAACGACATACCATCCCCGAGTTTGATCAAGCCCTTCAGCAACAAAATGCCCAGGGAAGTTTTTTTCAAATAGCTCCACGTTTTCAAAAGGATAATGGATATATGCATATGGCATCGATCCACTCTCAAACCAACAGTCAAAAACCTGCAAAAAATATAGTACAAGTATAAAAATACTGGAACAACACTCAGTTAGTCAGGAATTGGTGAGAGAGAGAAACAGAAGCATCTTACATCATCTACACGA